TTGCATAACCACTTTTTATTATGTTCTTTGATTCTTATGGTTCAATTCTATCCATTTATTGCTCTTGGCTCTATATATTACTTTTGCTTATTCTTCTCCATGTTAGGAATAATTTTACACTTTCTACTTGTGCCTTAGTAAGTATTCTTAGAGATAAACCTAATTAAAAATTTATGAAGTGGTTCCTCAATTTGGATATGTTTAACTTCTAATCCCACACACTAGGATTAATTTTGTTATTCATAAGTCCTCACATGCTTATTATTAGTAGTAAAGTCTCTTTAACCTTACCCAATTTGGATAAACAAACTTCCCCCATCTTTAGCTTTGCTTAATTTTGAATTTTAAATAGCATCTCCCATCTATTATTCTCCAAAAACTTAGTCTTATAAGCCTTATTTAATGCCTTTATAATACCAGACACTATATTCTTGGTGTTTTATGTATTTATATGTCTCAATGATGGACTTCTTAGGCAATAAAAATTTATTTCCATGGCAATGAATAACTATATCCTAACATAAAAAACTTATCCCTTAAAGAATATAATGAACCCCTTTTTTATCCCAACAAGAAATATCTTGGGAAGTTAGCTTTTACTATTTTAATCAATTATATTAAAATTATGGTTAATTATCTCATAGTTACCATATCCTACAACTCATTACCATTGTTTCTACACCTTTATTCACATTTGGTCAAAACACTTTAATTTCATGATTTCCAGTTTAGGCTATTAATCCTGGGGTTCCCTTGGCAAAGGGTTTTTTGAATTAACCACCTTGATATACTCAAGACATCTTTTAATAAGATATTTAGTATCTTCATATCATTAACTCTATGATATAAATAATTAAAGAGAACAATTTGAGAAATGATCTATAGGGGTTCAAATATAAAAGAAAAGGGTTTAAAAATGCAACTTCTTTTTCAATTGATAGAGTTTTAGGATATTTGGGGTTAAGCATCTTTGGATTTATATAGTACTAGATTAGGTGACCTTTTAAGAAGTCCAAACTCAAAAAACTTACATATGATTCTATCTTTCACCAAGATTATACTTTGCCATTTCTTATGCTAAAATAACTAATATTGGCTAGCCCTTCACTATTATACTTAGATAAAACTATTTGCAAGAGTTGTTTTTCTTTGTGAACACTTTTTTATGACTTTAGCATGACACTCTTAACCAGTAATAAGATACTCACTATTCTCATATTTAAATTTTATGAGCTTATATAGAACAAAGGGGATAATTGAGTATTGAAGTGACACTTATAATGGATAGGATATAAATACAAGAAACTATACTCAATCATTTTAGTCCTTGATTATACACAATACACCACAATGCAACTTCAATTACATCTTTAAGACTATCCCTTAATTCTATTGAATCACATAACCTTTTGGACTTATTAGTCCTGCAACCCATAAGGTCATAACCTCATAGCTACATTGACATGCTACTTTATTTACTTTTACCCTTAAGAACAATCCTTCTGTAACATAAGAATGTTAATTTATCTTTTAAATACACCCCTAACTCTTTGAGTTGTTCCAACATTTATAAGAAGTAGCACTCAGAGGACATGCATCCTCAACTATATTTTGACCACTCATAATGATTAAATTTAATTTCAAATTTATAAGCATCATTCTCAGGTAAATGAGGATAATCCCTGCCACCGTTTCTGGCTCCTACCACCTTTTCTATAGGACCTCATGACCAGCCTGGCCAATTTTTCTTCCCGATTTCACTAAGCAGCCCACCTTACAGTTGCTTAGCAGATCTCACCTTACCAGCCAATTACATCGACCGCACTATTCTTTCCAGACTTGGTCATCCGATCAGTGCTCTTCCTGATCAGCCTGCTCCAGTCAATTTTGGCGGAGAAGAGTTGGAGTTTCTGGGATTTCTCGCGTATCCCATACACTTTTCTTGGGAAGCCTTCAGTGGCCTCCTTCTACGTGACTGCTCCTCTCAACTATGCTCCTGTCAGTGCACTTGCCAGTTTTCTGGGTTTGACTTCCAGCTCTTTTGCCCCTCCTGAGCTGGATCTTTGTATGGCAACTGTGCATTTTGCTGAGGATTCTCCAGTGGCTGATCCTCCCGTACCTCCAGCTTTTCTCCAACATCCTGCTGCAATCCGGAACTCACCTGCATCCCCGTTCGAGCCTCCTGCGACGACTTCCGTCAACGTTGGTACCTCCAGCGAACCTCGTGAACTCCAAGTCGGCGCCAACGTATCTCCTTTGGACCTCCAGCAGTACCAGAAGCTTTTCCATGCATACAAGGACATCTTTGCATGGTCTTATGCGGATTTACGTGGCATCAATCCTGAGCTTGGGCAACACTGCATCGAACTCCAGCCGGATGCTCAGCCACGACGACAGAGAATGTACCGTATGAATCCAAACTACGCTCAAGACCTGGATAAGATGCTTGCTGCGGGTTTCATCTACCCTGTCGACACGATGGATTGGCTCTCTCCCATCGTCGTCGTTCCAAAAAGGAATGGGAAGCTGCGTGTATGTGTCAACTACCGCAAGCTTAACGCTGTGACATGCAAGGACGGGTTTCCCCTTCCCTTCACGGATGTGGTGCTCGACAACGTGGCTGGACACACGACTTATTCGTTCTTGATGGCTTTAGTGGCTATCACCAGGTTCTTATCCATCCTGATGATCAACATCTCACCTCGTTTATCACTCCGTGGGGATGTTTTTGCTACAGGGTGATGCCATTCGGAGTCACGAATAGTCCCGTGACTTTTCAACGAGTCATGCAAGCAGCCTTTCAACGGCTCTTGGAGATTTTCTGGAAGTTTTCCTTGATGATTTCAGCGTTTATAGCGACGCTATATCTCATTGCGTAAAACTCGAAAAATGTTTTGAACGTTGCCGTTTCTATGGCATTTCTCTAAATCCCTCCAAGTGTGCGTTTGGCATTCCCCGTGGCATTCTTCTCGGTCGAGTGGTCTCCTGGGACGGATTAGCTGTGGATCCAGCTAAGGTGGCTATCGTGAAGAACCTGGAACCACCGCACGTTAAAAAAGATCTCCAAGCTTTCTTGGGCCACGTCGGCTACCATCGCCACTTTATCTACGACTTCGTGACTAAAGCTTTACCTCTGACGAAACTCTTGAAGGCCGGCATGCCTTACGAGTGGACACCAGCGTGTCAGGACGCATTTGAGCTTCTCCGGGGAGCTCTGATCACTGCTCCGATTTTAGCCGTTCCTGACTGGACAGTTATTTTCCACTCCATGCTTCTGCCTTTGCTGTCGGCGCTGTTCTTTGCCAGCCGCGAGAGGGCATCGATCACCCTATTTTCTACGCAAGCCGCCAACTCTCCTCTGCCGAGCGCAACTACTCCGCCACTGAACGGGAAGGCTTGGGCATGATCTTTGCTATTCAGAAGTATCGCCACTACCTGTTGGGCACACACTTCAAATTTTTCGTGGATCACCAAGCACTCAAGTACCTAGTCAACAAGCCTTGCCGCACAGGTCGCATCTCTCGCTGGCTCATCATCCTCCAGGAATTCAACTTTGACGTGATCCTGAAGCCCGGCCGCGCTCATGCCATGGCCGATCACCTTTCACGATTGCCAGGCCCTCCCTCCTCCTAGGACCTTGAAGATGACCCAGCTGATGCAGCTCTGTTTTCTTGCGACACCACGGATCTCTTTGCGGTCGACGCTGTTCCCGAATGGTATCAAGGCATTGCAGATTATCTGGCTACCGGCGAGTTCCCTGCTGACTTTACTGTCACCGAATGCAAGCGACTTATTATCCAAGCTCGTCCATACTCTCTCCTGCATGGCCAGCTCTACATCCTCGGCCGTGACGACGTTCTACGCCGTTGTATCCTTCCTCACGAGGTGGCCACTGTTATCACTTCATGCCATGATTCACCTTATGGCGGCCACTTTTCAGCTGAGGCAACAATTCGTTTGGTTCTTCAAGCTGGCTATTGGTGGCCAACGCTTCACAAGGATGTTGCTGCCTACGTTCGGCCAGCGTGCTGGTCGCCCAACTCGCCGCGATCTGATGCCGCTTAACCCTCTGCTTCCGGTGCTTCCTTTTGAGAAGTGGGGCATCGATTTTGTGGGACCGATCAAGCCAGCCAGCCATCCTTCCCGTGGCCGCTAGATTCTTGTGTGCACGGACTATGTCACGAAGTGGGCCGAGGCAGAAGCTCTCACGGAAGACACAGCTGCCAAGGTTGCGACTTTTCTTTACAAGAACATCGTCACGAGATTTGGCTGCCCTTTGGAGCTGGTGAGCGATAGAGGTACTCACTTTATCAATCAAGTGCCCATATCGCATCGTTGAAGTTTTTACCAATGGCTTGGTCCAGCTTGAAGATCTTAGTGGGAACTTGTTACCAACTCGTGTTAATGGAGCTCGCCTGCGCAAGTACCATGAGCGAGATGAAGCTGCCGTGGAGCTGTGTGCTCCAGGAGGTTGGGGGTGATGTAGAACTGAGGGAATATTCCATTTGCCGCCACGTCAGTAGGGGAGGGGAAGTCCACAAAGGGAAAAAACAGTCCATCATCGTATGTAAGGAAGAAAATAAAAAGAACAAAAGATGCTTCAATGAAGAGTTCTTGGGCAAAACGCTCTAAATCATGTGAAGGGAAGCAAAAGAGCATTATCAAACCACCATGGGCATTCTGTGTCCTCATTGTGGGCAACAGTTTTACCTTATAACAAACTCCTAAACATTCTCTAAGGTGTTTTCAGAGTGTATTAAACATTCCTTAAAGTGTTTTTAGAATGCATAGAATATGGAAAGAGAATATAGAAATGTGTATATCAATTAGCTTATATACAAATTTGGATTAAAACTTATTAATTCTCAAGATTAGTATTTATTACATATATTTGATAAATTTTTGTTCACTACAATATTGTATACTAATATTAGCATATGGGTACAATGCCGTATATTAGTGGGATAACCATTGAATTAGGGTAAATATGATTAAAGTACTTTGGCACAAACAAATTAAGTTTTATATTATGGTCTTTTTTCACATAACCTTTTGAAAGCAAAATTATTTATAGATATATAATTTTTCTAATCTATAAATAACTTCCAAAAACAACCTCCTCAAGGAAGAACATCAAACTCAGACCATGCGTTCCTAACCTTGTGGCCATCCACCGTCACCCGAGCCCTCCACACCGCGCTGTTGCACTTAAACCCCGACCCAAACGCGATCTGCCAGACCCGGTCGCCCCTTTTGATCCGCCCCATGGCCTCGCAGTAGGCCAGCTCGTACCACAGCGAGCTCGACGAAGTGTTACCCCAACGATAGAGCGTCATCCGTGACGGCTCCATATGCCAGTCGGTGAGCCCCAGGTTCTTCTGCAAGTCGTCCAGCACGCCCCTACCCCCGGCGTGGATGCAGAAGTGCTCAAACGCCTTCTTGAAGTCGGGGATGTAAGGCCGGACTTGGATCTTGAGAAACCTCCTCGCCACCAGCGTGAAGAAGAACATAATCTGCTCGGGCAGCGGCAGAACCAGCGGCCCCAGCGTCGTGATGTTGGTCTTGAGCGCCTCGCCAGCCACGGCCATGACATCTCTCGACAGCGACACTCCCACCATCCCATTCTCGTCCTCCTGCTGAAACACGCACTGGAAGCAGCGATCGTCGGCTCCCTTGTGGGTTCTCACCGTGTGGACGAGCTCGTACCTCGCGGCGCGGCGGGCGGATCGCTTGTTGGAGAGCAGGATGGCGGCGCCGCCCATCCGGAAGAGGCAGTTCGTGACGAGCATCGAGCGGTCGTTGCCCAGGAACCAGTTGCGCGTGATGTTCTCGGTGCTCACCACGATCGCGTACGTGCTGCGGTGGACCTGGAGCAAATCCTTGGCCAGATCGATGGAGATGACCCCGGCGCTACAGCCCATGCCACCCAGGTTGTAGCTCTGGATGTTGCCACGCATCTTGTAATGATTGACGATCATGGCCGAAAGCGATGGCGTGGGATTGAAGAGGCTACAGTTGACGATGAGGATGCCAATGTCCTTTGGCCGGACGCCGGATCGCGAGAAGAGCTCGTCCAGCGCGCCAAACATGACGCTCTCCGTCTCGAACCGTGCCTCCTCCATGGACTTGTTGAAGGGATCGCTGGTGAGGGAGCGCGGCACGTAGGATTCCTCCCCAATCCCGCACTTCTCCAGGATCTTGGCCTGGAAGCTGAGCGATTCCTCGTTGAAAGCCCCCGAATGCCGGGAGTGCCTCATGAATCGCTCCCTGGAGCACCTGCGGTCGTCGTCGGGGCGGTAGCACGCGAAATCCATCAAGAGCACTGGCGCCGGCCGCGTCGTGGCGTAGATCGTTGCCACAAACGCCAGCGCCGCCGAGGAGAGCGAGAGGCTGAGGAGATTGTAGCGGAAGTGCTCCCACAGCATCCAGATGATGTCCTCGATCCAAAGCCGCGAGATTTCGCTGGCCGCCGCGACCAGGAGGGGGACCGTGATCGCGAGCACTGCGGCGCGAGAGATTAGATACGCATACCCGAGCTTGACGTACTTGAGCCTCACGGACTGGAGGAAATCCGGCAGCTTGCCCATCGCGTGTCCAACTCTCCTTTCTCAGGTAAATAAAGCCTTTTTAGGGTTCTTGCGGAAAGCCCCTGGAATTAAATGCCACCAGTTTTGGCGCCAGTGGATCTGGACCGTCGCCTCCATGTTCCTTGTTCCCGAGAATACGAGAGCCCAGTCAAATTTATTTTGACATGAAAGCCAGTACCTCTCGAGCCAGCAACTGGGCGAGACAAAAGAGACGACCGCCATTTTCACCATTTAAGACGAGTAAAAACCAGAGTGTAGAAAAAAACAAAAACGTTTTAACCTCCTGGCTTGAGCACGAACATCCGGCAGCCGTGAGATGGAACGTACGCTCGAATGCCGTTGGTATATGTGTATCGTAAGTTTTGATGCTGCGGATTCACGAAAGGAAAGAGAATTTGAGAAACACACAAGGCGTAGCTTTCAGTGGATCAAATCGTCAAAGATTTTGAGTATACCTGCCATAAATCTCTCGCGGTGACACGAAGGTTTTGTTTGATGCCAATGTCTTGCCAGTTTGCGTTTATGCTCCATCCCATATAACCTCTGTTCACCATCAGGACAGCGACACGACCACCGGAAAGGGGCCCGGCCCAAACCTGTATAGAGAAAATATTTTGAGAGACTCCTTTCTAAGACTTTATAATCTAAACTATACCTCCGTGGAGCCCTGGGTTCTCACTTTCCTGCCTTGAATTCCTAGAGAATCTGGAAAGAAGGTTCTTTGAGTGAGCAAATGAACGGTGGTTGCAAAAGAAACCGAGACAGACCTTGATTGACACCAACGACTTCCCAGTTTGAAAGGATGCCGAGGTAATCTTGACGTATGCTTCGAATGTCACAACCGATAAGGAGAGGCGCCTAGAGAAAAACCACCGCGATCAAACAAAGTTCCTTGTTTTCCTTCTTGGTACCTTCATAATGGCCCACAAGCTGAAATGTGTACGATATTCTTCCACCGACATTCCACCGTTTCCAACCTCTAGCATGTCCGGATCTGGAGGAAAGAGAAAAACACCAAAGTTGCCAGCGTTACGCAACGAAATCCGGTGAACTGGTATTAAACTGATTGATACCGTTCCAGTGTCCCGGTCCCGCATACGATGCCCACTGGTTGTTCAGATCCGCTCGCGAGACCATCCTGCACAGACAACACTCATCTAAGAGCCTTGAGCATTAAAACTCACACAATGGGCTAGTACGAGTTCCAGTTATCCGCAATGTCGCCCGTAGTCCTCCAGCTATTTCCAACGTTCGAAGCCCAAGTCGCGGGATTATCCTGGCCCCTGCAACCAATCACACGAATGTGAGCGACATATTCCCCTGGAGTTATGGCAACTTACCACTCGCACAGCGAGTAGAAGATAGGACGGCCTGTCTTGACCAATGCATCGTGCATGACATGGTATCTGTCGATCGGGACAAACAAACGAATTAGAGGCAACCGAAACGGAATTTTAAACTTTACCTGGTTCTGGGACTCACACCATTGTTTCCGCAATTGTCATACTTCAAGTAATCAACGCCCTGGAAAAAAAAAAGTTCGATCAAACAAAGGCAAGAGGAATTTTTACTCGACTCACCCAGCTCGCAAATGTGGCGGCATCTTGGTACTCTCGTCCCAACGATCCAGGCTGCTGCTTGCTACATGTCTGGTAGCTGCATGGAATGGACCAAACTTACATTCTCCACGATTGAAAGAAAAGAAGTGTACTAACCCGGCGTCCGAGTAGATTCCAAGCTTCAGCCCTCTGCTATGGACGTAATCCGCCAGCGCCTTAATTCCGGATGGGAATGCCGAGCTCTTCGCTCTCAGGTTCCCCTGCGGGAGAGAAAGATTTCAAGATCACGGACAATCGCCTTTAGCAAAAAGAAATGCTGGAAACAAGACAAATCACGGGGATCTTGCGAGACACTGAGATGAGAAGGATTGATCTGAGCAGAATTGAGATCTACCTGCCAGTCTCTAGACGAATCAGCCCAGCAGTCGTCCAGATTGATGTATCTGTAGCCAAGCCTGCTCAATCCACTTGAGACCATCGCATCAGCTGTACGAGAGAAAAACACTTATAATAAGTTCCGTCAAGAACAGGGAGGGGGCATATTCTCCCCATATCCAGGCAAGAACAGGATATTCCTCACCCGTTTGTCTGATGAGCTGCTCATTGATGCCACATGCGAAGTGATTCCAGCTGTTCCATCTGCGCGGCGACCATCAGACCTCAATGCGCGTGATTAGATCGCTGGGCGATTCGATATTTCGCGAGAAATTGGACGAAATATCGGGAAAACAGCGATCTTGATCGATCCATCTTACCCCATCGGCGGGCTCCGCCCCAGTCCATCCGTCGCCTTGGCATGTCGGAAGGGATTCCTGTGGATTCTGGCCCGGATCACGCCTCCGCGCGTGAGATTCGTCCGCGCAAGATCATCGCCATTGGAGGACAATGCCCAGGGTGCATTGGAGGAGAAGACGAAGAACAAGATCGAGAGGGAAATGGAGAAGGAGAGAAGCGGCGAATCCTTCTTCTTCATCCTCTCCACCCCTCTCTCTCCTAGCTACGAATGAGAAGCCAGGAACACATTTTAAAAGGAGGTAAAAGTTACTACATGGTAAACCCTACAGTACTATTTACTTTTCACTGCCAGCATAAAGATCAAAAGCAACTCTTCTTTATTCGTCTTTTGGAAGAAGTTTTATTCGCTGTTCTTCCATTCGAAACCTCTCTCTCAGGAGATTTTCTCTCCCATTTCTTAAAAAAATCTGTTTTTTTCTTCTTTTTTTTTGTCTGTGTTTGATCGATCATACCTGGTTTTGCTCGTATAATGCCCGCCTGACCAATTCTTTTCTCACGACGTTGGCGTCAGTATAAACATCTTGCAGCCGTGCGAAGGAACGGACGCTTGAATGCTTCCGGTGTACACAACTGGCAAGTCCTTGTGCTGCAAACAAGCAAACACTTCAAACAAAGCCTCTGATTTGATTGGAAGCTCTTACCTGCCATAGATCTCTTCCAGTGGCTTTCGTTCCCGACTTCAAGCCAATCTCGTCCCAGTTGGCTGTGATACTCCATGTCATGAAGCTCCTGTTCACCATTAAGATCACGACCCGACCGCCCGAGAGAGGCCCGGCCCAGACCTGTGTAGATTAGATCTAGATGCGTCAGCGACAAAGACAAAACACAAGAGAAAAGCAAAAGGTTTCGAGAAATTGCTGTAAAGTTACTTACATCTAGGGACGACGACGAGCTAACTTTCTTGCCCTGTACACCCAACGAGTCTGGAAAGGGATCAAAGCGATCAAATTGGTAAAGTGACTCGCAACGAACGGCAGGTAAGGCAAACAATACGGAAATACCAAATACCTTGGTTTACATTGATGACTTCCCAGTTCGAGAGTATGGAAAGGTAATCGCTTCCAATGCTTGTTACGTCACAGCCGATCAGTAGAGGTGCCTGTTGGGACATGGTATGGGATGGTATACTGTCAATATTTTCAGCGTGAATGAAAGCGACTGAAAGCCATACCTTCATTATAGCCCACAAGCTGAAGTGTGTCTGGTATTCCTCCACGCTCATTCCGCCGTTTCCAACCTCAAGCATATCAGGATCTGATTTTGCGATTATCACTCGAACACAAGTAAATTGCGTGAAAACTTTGGGAAGACGAAACTTACCATTCCAGTGCCCCGGTCCAGCATAACTTGCCCACTGATTGTTTTCGTCCGCCCGAGACATCATCCTACAGACAAACGTCAGCCTTACTGTTCGATAAATGTATCAAGATTTCTTTTACGTGCTCCAGTCGTCACTTATATCCCCTGTTGTCCGCCAACTGTTCCCAACATCGGCAGCCCAGGTCGCAGGATTTTCCTGACCCCTGGAAAACCATAGTCAATAAGTCTTCTCGACTAAAGAAATAAAAAAAGGACAAGTGGTGGAAGACAGAAAGATTGATGAATTTACCACTCACAGAGTGAATAAAAAATACTCCGACCGGATTTGGCCAGTGCGTCTCGCATGACTGGGTACCTAACAAGCGCACCAACAAGAAGAAAAAAAGAAAACAAATGAGTCGCCCGACATTGATTAAATCTGGAGAGTGCTCCTTACCGAACTTTAGGACTAGTTCCATCGTTCTCACAATTGTCGTATTTGAGATAATCAACACCCTATAGAAGAAGAAAAAAAGGAAAGAAGCCCGGTTAGAATCAAAGAATCTATTAATCTACTCCTAGACTCCTATAATCTCCAGAAGCAAGAAGATCCTCCAAATGCTTGAAACCCCGATCGATCCAAGACCTGCCATAGCCCCGATCGAAAGAATATCGATCATAATCCCAGAATTTCTCGCAAGAACCCTCCTAATCCAAGAAATCCCAGTAAAAATTGAGGCGCTTACCCAGCTCGCAAATGTGGACGCGTCCTGGGCCTCCCGGCCCAGCGATCCCGGCTGTTGCTTGCTACACGTCTGGTAGCTGCGGCAATCAAACGCGGCGGCGACGAAAGAGACGTTAGAACCCTAGCGCGATGGCGACGCATCAGCAAACAAAGCTACAAGCACCGACCCGGCATCTGAGTATATTCCCAGCTTGAGTCCCTTGGCGTGGACATAGTCGGCCAGCGCCTTGATGCCCGATGGAAAAGTGGAGCTCTTCCCGCGCAAATTACCCTGTTAAATTAAACACGTGATTAGTTAGCACTAATGGAATGACCATCATCGTTTTCTTCAACCTGTCCATCTCGTGTTGACTCGGCCCAGCAATCGTCCAGATTGATGTGAACGTAGCCAAGTTTCGCCAATCCACTGGAGACTATGGCATCGGCTATATGCAAAGTCATTAGAAGAATGAGAATTTTCTCTTCTTTGGACGATTTTCTCTTCGCTTACCAGTTTTCTGGATGAGACCTTCGTTGATTCCACAACCGAAATGGTTCCAGCTATTCCACCTTTGATTGTTTTCCCGAAAGAGAAAGAGATGATCACGTAGATGCGAGAAAGATTCTTAGCAACTATGGTTTTGTATACGTACCCCATGGGAGGCGTTCCTCCAAGTCCATTTCCAACTTTCTTGTGCCTTCTCTTTCTCAGCGAGGCTCTGAGCGTGGAATTCAACTCCGCCGACCAAACCAGAGGAGCAAACACGAGCATCGCCAGGAGCAGAACGATCAACGCCGGCTTCATCGTGAATTCGAGAAGGAAAACTCTGCAAACTCTCGGCTTGGAATGGATTGATCAAGGAGGAGGAATTCACTCCAATTGAGTGATCCTAGACCATGGATCCCCAATATATGCGAAGGCCAAGGAAAGAGAGAAAGGGAGAGGAGGATGAGATAGTACTGGGACCTCTCTCGCTATGCACACGTCTTTAAGTAATCCTGTACAAGACACACACACATCACACACCCAAAGAGTGCTTTGCTCATCTTGTCAACGACAAATACGAGCATCACTTTCGTAGATTTTAGTTTCTCGTAACCACATCTCTACCAAAAAAGACCCGAAAGTGAAAGAACATCTCCTCCCTCCAACTTTGACAATTGGACAGGCGAACGATTTCTTCTTTCGCTTTCTTTAATAAGCTATATTCACTGTGTAAATGGCGAGCTTTCATCAGCACAACGTAATGAATGATAAGACCCTGGAGCTTGCAATATTCCATCCACCAGAAGTATTTTCTCGGGCCTACACACCAAAAACCTTAGTAAAACCTTTACATCAGCTAAAGCTTTGTAACAGGGGTGATATCAACATTACACTCAATTCTTTCGACCTTCTACTAATATAAAGTGGTAGCCATGTCTGAGAAAACAAAGAGAAAAGAAAAAACAAAAGTGCGAACTTTAGTGTCAAGAAAGATCTAGAAGGAGAAAATCTCACGTTGATTTGAAAGGAGCACTGGTTGATCCGACGGGCGTAGAAAACGCGACTTCCTGAAAGGGGCCGGCCATTTTCCCGCGAGGAAACCATCCCAAATCCCCGCCTTTCTTTCCAGACGGGCACTCAGAGAACTCGGCAGCGACCTGGAGGCAAAGCATTGACACTCAAACATCAGACATCACAGCGAGGAATGAGCGAGGTCGCGAAACACGGCTTACTTTTGCGAACTCCGCCGGTGGGACTTTGTCGCCGTTGTTTAGCCATCCGTCCTGGAGCTTCTTGTAGGCGTCGTTGATCCGTCCCTGTTTCTCGCAGAGAACATGCCTGGCTGCAAGCGATTGAGCAGTAAAAAGCCATTAGTAAACAAAACAGCTACAAGCAATCGCACAATCGGAGAAGGCAAAAGCTAAAGTTTAGTCAAGGATCATCATCGAAGAAAAGAGTTTTGCACAATCGGGGAAGGCATAGTCAAGGATCATCATCGAGGAAAAGAATGTAGAGTAAACACAATGCGGGTCTCGAAAAACCAAGAAAAAAGATAAATTTTCCGCGTATGAAGTGGTGATTACTGAGAAAACCAGCAATGCGGGTCCTTTACACACTGGACTTATACTCGTGAATGGCTACAAAGATCAATGAGCGAAATCTAGACACTAAAACCTCCTAGAGGATGCATAAAATTAGAGGTAAAATTCTTACCTTTGACATACGTGCACGTCCCGAGCTCATCCTTGCCGCTGCCACCGCCGCCTTTCGATTTGCCCTTGGACGGCGCCTCAGCTGCCGATCCACCTCCACTTTGCTTGGATTTGCCCTTGGCGCTCTCCTTGGCCTTCGAATCCTTGCCCATTCAACCTAGACCTAAAATGCAAGTACACACTTTTGGTCCTTTAGGGAATTAGGGTACGGAAACTGGCCATTCCTTTTGGGCCAGACAAATATCTCCCGCAAAAAAGCGAGGATAGGGTTTAGGGTTTATAACTTGGGGCCCTAAAATGTCGAGCGCCTGGAGAATGGCGTCTCTCATGAATGTGGATCTCTCGAAGGGCATTCTCGGCGCCAAGACCTCCAGCGCCGCGGGCCTCCGGATACTGCGCAAGCGCTCCACGGCGATTCGCAGGCGCAGCAACAGCACAGTGGCGTGCCCGGCGCTCAAGGTCGTCAACAGCGCCAGCGCGGTCCTCATCCCTCCTGTCAAGACCCCGGGCTCGATCAATCTCCTCAACGGGCAGCACCAGCCGCGGATTTTCCCGCAAGAGGGCGGCGGCGAGGAGGAGAATCTCGGCAGGCAGCTCGAGGGCTATCTCAATTCCCCAAACGATGTGGGCCTCCTGGCTCGGGCGCTGGACGAACAGCACGGTGAGTACTTCGTGGCAATGGATGCGATCGACAGGATGAGGCGCGAGGGCGGCGCCTCTCCAGAGCTGGATCTGGCGGTGAGGAACGCGGTGGTGGCCTTGTACGCCAAGTTCGGCAGCCTGGCCGACGCTTGCAAGGCGTTTGAGAGGATCCAGCAGCCCAATGTGGAGAGCTGGAACGCGCTGCTCATTGTCTACTGCCGCCTGGGGACTTGCAACAACATCGCCCAGATCGTGGATCGGATGCGCAGCATCGGGGTCTGGCCAAACGAGCGGACCTTCCTCACAATCTTCGAGCGAGTGCGGCACATCGAGGATGGCAAGCGGCTGGCCGAGAAGGTCAAGGAGCAGCAAGGCCTGGATCTCAGCATCGTCGGGGCGGCGCTGGTGACCATGTTTTGCCGCTTCTCCAGCGTCTCGGATGCCCGGGACGCGTTTGACAAGATACCCGAGAAGGGCATCCCGGCCTACACGGCGATGATGGCCGGGTACGTGAACGAGAAGAAGCCCAAGGAGGCGATCGAGCTCTACCACGCTCTCCAGCAGAGCAACTTGCCAGTGACCAACACCGTGCTCGCCATCGTGCTTGGAGCGTGCTCAAACCTGGTGGACAGTGACGAGGGCCGCGCGGCTCACTACACCGCCATCGAGCTCGGCCTCCAGGACGATCCCGTCGTCCAGAACGCGGTGGCGACGATGTACGCCAAGTGTGGAGGACTGGAGGAGGCCCGGGCGGTGTTTGACGCCATGGAGATCCGGAACGTTGACGCGCTCACCTGGTCCTCGCTCATCGGGGTCTACGGCTCGCAAGGCAAGACTGACGAATCGCTCCGGCTGGCGCGGAGGATGCAGCACGAAGGGATGATCCTGGACGGGAACTGCTTCGCCAACTTGATCTTCAGCTGCGCGAATGGCCGCCAGGACGCCGAGGCGTGCCGGTTCTTCATGGACATGAGGAGCGACTATGGGATCGTTCCCGGCAAGGAGCACTTTGGGTGCTTGGTGGACGCGGTCGGGCGGGCCGGGCATCTCAAAGACGCGGAGGATCTGATCAAGGCCATGCCGATGCAGCCGGACGAGCACGTATGGAGCGTGCTGTTCGCGAGCGCGCAGCTGCACGGCGACGCGCAGAGGATCCAGCGCTCGGCGGAGATCATGATGAAGATGAATCCTCAGCTGGATCCGCTGGGAACCGGCGCGAACAGGACTGCCGCTCGGTGGGAGGAGGCCAGGAAAGTGCGAGAGCTCATGAGGAAGCGCGGGATCAAGAAGGAGCCCGGGAAGAGCATGATCACGATCAACAATGTGGTGCACAGCTTCATGGCGCGCGATCGGTCGCACATCCACACGAAGGAGATCTACGCGGAGGTGGACAGGATCACGGAGATTTGCAAGAAAGAGGAGAACTACATCCCCGACACGAGATACGTTCTCCATGACGTTCCTGAGGACCAGAAGCCCAAGCTGCTCTACTATCACAGCGAGAGATTGGCGATGGCGTATGGGCACATCGCGACGCCGCCGGGATCGGCCCTGCGGGTGATCAAGAACTTGAGAGTTTGTGGGGATTGTCACACCATCTCCAAGATGTGGGCCAAGATCATGCAGCGGGAGATTATCGTGCGAGACAATCGGAGGTTTCACCACTTTGCGAAAGATGGTACGTGTTCTTGTGGAGATTACTGGTAAATTAGCTACAAAAGCTTTTTCTTGTTGGCCTTGGAAATGGACGGATTGTCACACCCCAATTCTTAGAAAAATGGCTAAAGTAAAGATTTATTATAGTTTTGTTGTATCTTAAAAGGTTATTACTAATTATAATACTTTTTTAAAATAAAGTAATATTTAAAAGAAACATTTAATATTTTTTGACATTTCTAAATTTTTTATATATTATTTTTTTCTTACTACTTAAGTGGCACTTTTCAAATGCAATCTAAATGTTATAATTAAATCATAGTTTAACTACCATTGAGTGTGGGTTTTGTGAAAGAAAACAATGCAGCTTAATACAAACTATGCATGAACAACTTCACATCTAACCCTTTCACGAATATTTTTTATTCAGATGAAACTTTCAAAAACTTTATAAATATTTTTAGCTTTTAGCAACAACCTAATTCACATTGGAACATTACAAATGTTATTTAAATAATTTTTATAACTTACTTGACAATGCACTAGACTCAAGTAGTAAAAAGAAAATAATGTATAAAAAATTTAGAAATGTCAAAAAATATTAAATGTTTCTTTTAAATATTACTTTCTTTTAAAAAAGTATTCTAAATATTTATGCTATTAGTAATAAATGTCCCGAGGCAACACGTCCTGGAAAAAAAATGTTACTAAATTTAATAAATAAACAACGAAAATACTTACAAATGCATTCGACTATGGGTTACTCCCGAAGACAAAGGTGTATACCTTTTTCAACTTTTCTATTTGGCCTTTCTCATATACATAGATGATGGCAGTATAGAATTCCTTACCCTTTATAATTTCGTGAGCTACCAATCCACTTGAACAAACAATAATAAGCCTAAATAAACTAAAAAAGAAATTAATAAACCTGTATGCTATAATATCTCGTAATTCGTCATTTTCATGGTTGCTTCATCGAAATCCATATCACTCTTCTCATTGAAGATGGCGATCGCCGGCCTGTTACTAATGAATTCTTTCCACCAGTACAAAATGTTATTTTATTTTATTTTTGAGCATAGAATAAATTTAAAGCTAAAAGCAAGTGAATTTTAATTGATGTGATAAAGAATAAAAAAGTTAATTATCCCACTTTTGAAACTTTATGAAAAAAACTATGTCATAATTTCTCTATTATAACAATCATTAACAACAATTTTAATTAAATAATTTTAATAATAAAATAATATATAGATATTAAACTTCTAAAACTAGAGTGTTCCTTTTAATTAAGTTATGAAGGAAAATTATAAAACTATTTTGACTTTTAGCAAATTTACTATATATATAATTAAAAATTAGAAAAAAAAATATTAATTTTTCTACCATTTATGTATAAAGGTTTATATATAATATATTGTATAATAACCTAAATATTTTATACTTATTCTGATAATTTAAGTACTTTTTGTGATACTAGATTTAATAAAATAACATTAATGTTATTAAATTTTTGAAAATTATTTAAATTTTCCATGTTAACCAAAAGGTAAGTATAAATATGTTTTAAGAGAATTTCAATTATTTCAACAGCATTGATAAATAACTATGTGTGATTTAATGTTTATATAGAACTTTTACTATAATATACTATATTAATAATGATATATCCATATAAAAAATAAAACATTTAAAATAAACTATTGATATATTATCAAAACCAAAAACATACATGAGATTTACTAATGATAAAAAATTGTGATTGACTAACTTTTTTGTTTCATTGATAATATTGTAAAGTTGTGAAAGTATGGCTTACTCAAAATTTGATTGATGCATTTAATTTTAATTATTTAATAATTTTTCAATACAATTGTAAATAATTATAGTAGTAATTATTAAAATGTTATATTTACTTAATTTTACTGTGTTTTTATATTTCTTATAATAAATTTCTTATACATATGTGTTTTTATATAAAAATTAAAATAAGTTTCTTTTGGGTAATATTATATATCTATAAAAATTATTATTTAATTTTGTTTTTATCAACTTTAAAAAATATTTTACTATTGAAAATTCTAGAGGTTAGCATTTGCAATACATATGTTATATGTTATAAATTATTCCAAATTAATGTATGTACACACACACATATATATATATACACACACACAGTAAATTTAAATGGAAAATAAAGAAAAAATTCTTCACATTAGATTATTCATGACAACAAAATTATTAAATGTGAGTAAGATCACTATAAATCCATGGATTGATTCTGACATTACAAACTTATATTTCATCCCTTATGTGAATTCCATTATAAAATCTCCAATAGTTCACCTAATAATTAATATATTTTATTGCATTTAGGGTGTAGGGTTTAGGGTTTTTAAAAAGCATTTTCTTCGGCTTCATAATTTCTTCCTAGATATTAAACCTCAACACAGGGTTCTCTCATGCTTTAGTTGTCTCCAATGAATAATTCTGAATTTCTAATAACTAGAGATTTATCTAACATTAAATACATGCTAAAAGCATAACAAACTTAACATGTTTGTTGTTTGGATCAAAGAAGTTCTTGAACTGTGAGAACATGCAAGCAATAGGGAGATTCTTCAAAGCTATCAGTTAGATGCTTTCATCAACGTTCTCTCGTCAACCTTGAGTTCTACAAAAAGCCGATTTTCAATGTGGGAAATGCATGGGTGCCCTAGAATCTTGCACTTGGAAGTCTATCTTCATTCAGTTGGCTAACAGGACAAGCAAATGGGCGATAACGGGCCTAGCAACAGGATTTCTCCTCTATCGCCAAAACGATCCAGCCTCGATGTGGGCGATCACCGGCGCGCTCGCCAATGGCGCCACCTCCAAGCTCCTCAAGCAATGCATCAACCAGCAGCGCCCCATCGCCGCTGCAAACCATGCGAGACTCGATCCGGGAATGCCCTCCTCTCACGCGCAGTCTCTCGCCTACCTCTCCACGTACGCAACAATCGAGATCGCCGGATGGAGTGGCGTCAATCCAGTGCTCTCTCTGGCGCTCAGAGCGATTGTTCTTAGCACTGCCGCCTATCTCGCTCATCTTAGAATCTCCATGGGTTTCCACACCTCCGCGCAGGTCGCGGTTGGATCGGTGATCGGGAGCTCCAGCGCTGTGATTTGGAACTGGATCTGGAGGGCGATCGTGGAGCAGCACGCGGTGAATCTGCCGTGGATGTCAAAGGCGGGATGGATGGCGTTGTTCGTCGCGGGAAGCTTAGCTCTGGCGCGAGAATCTAAATGAGAGGCAATTAAGCCAAACCATGAAAGATTCCTTCATCTTTGCCAAAATATCCTCTCTTGTTTTTCTTTCTACCTAGGGAATGATTCGCCAATGGATGAGACGCGCGTCGCGGCTCCAATCCGCTGCCCAGGGATTCCTCCGCGCGGGCCCTGGTTCTTGGAGCTCTAGACGCGCGGCTCTGAGCGGCGCCGCTGGAAATCTCGCGAGAGGGGTAAGATTTTAGAGATCCAGGCAACGCGCGCGCGCTTGTTTCTTCGATCGGTCGATCTTGAGAGAAATCCGTGATTTTCCAGCGTTTCAGGCGTCGGAGATCTCGTTCGCAAGGATTAAGCTCTCGTCGCGGGTGAGGATCGGCGCCATCGGCAAAGAAATGGTAATATCCGTTAGAGAGAGAGCGAGAGAGAGCATCTTTCGGCTAGATCCCTTTTAGATCCTTTCGATAAAGTAGGTCATTGGGAAGAACAGGTGTAAAGGTTTTAGCGAGAGATACACGGCTATGGCAAACATTGACATCGATGGGATCTTACAGAGCGGCGGGGGTGCCAAGCCGGAGATCGCCAAGACGAAGATCGTGTGCACGCTCGGGCCCAAATCCAGGGAAGTCCCGATGCTGGAGAAGCTCCTCCGCGCCGGGATGAGCGTTGCCAGGTTTAATTTCTCTCACGGCTCTCACGATTATCACCAGCAGACGCTGGAAAATCTCCGGATCGCAATGAACAACACCCAGATCATGTGTGCTGTGCTGCTCGACACTAAGGTTTGTTTATCCTCTTTAAACTTTTGTTTGATCGATTTGAGCTTTTGTTTGATCGATCCAGGGGCCAGAAATTCGTACTGGGATGCTAAAGGATGGAAAGCCCGTGCAGCTGGTGGAAGGAAAGGAGATTACTATCTCCACGGACTATAGCATTCTAGGCGATGCTAACACTATTTCTATGAGCTATAAGCGGCTTGCCGAAGACTTGGAACCGGGTAACACTATCCTTTGCTCCGACGGAACGATCACTTTGACTGTTCTTTCGTGCGACAAAGAGACTGCCTCGGTCAGGTGTCGGTGCGAAAACACGGCGATGCTCGGGGAAAGAAAAAATGTCAACTTGCCAGGGATTGTCGTTGATCTGCCTACTATCACAAAGAAAGACGAGGAAGATATAATGGGCTGGGGGCTGCCTAATGCGATCGACTTCATCGCACTTTCTTTTGTGCGGAAGGGTCAAGACGTCGTCACTGTGAAGAAGCTTCTCGGTTCTCATTCGAAGGCGATCCATATCATATCTAAGGTAACGTAAAAGAATAGTTTTTTTTTTCTGTTTTCTAAAGGCTTGGCTGTGCCTCAGGTTGAAAACCAGGAAGGACTCGTGAACTTCGATGATATTCTACGCGAGTCCGATGGTGTGATGGTTGCCAGGGGTGATCTTGGAATGGAGATCCCCACGGAAAAGATCTTTTTGGCCCAGAAGATGATGATATACAAGTGCAATGCGGCTGGGAAACCGGTAGTGACGGCTACGCAGATGCTCGAGTCCATGATCAAGTCCCCGAGGCCGACTCGGGCCGAAGCCACAGACGTAGCAAACGCTGTTTTGGATGGCAGCGACGCGGTGATGCTCAGTGGCGAGACAGCAGCAGGGGCATATCCAGAGATGGCTGTGAAGATCATGTCACGGATTTGTATCGAGGCGGAGGCCTCCCTCGACTACGCTACCATCTTCAAGGAGCTCATGAAGCAGACTGCTCTCCCGATGAGTCCCTTGGAGAGCCTGGCATCTTCGGCAGTTCGGACGGCAAACAAGATTGGAGCGTCCTTGATCGTGGTGCTTACCCGAGGAGGAAGCACCGCAAAGCTCGTTGCGAAGTACAGGCCCAAGGTTCCCATACTCTCGGTTGCGGTGCCGGTGCTTACGACCGACTCATTGACGTGGTCGTGTAGCGAGGAGTCGCCCGCTCGGCACAGCTTGGTTTGCAGAGGCTTGATTCCTTTGCTGGCTGAAGGCTCCGCAAAGGCTACGGACTCGGAGTCCACGGACGACATCCTCAACGCTGCTCTTCGCTACGCTCTAGGCAAGAATCTGTGCCACAGTGGTGAGTCCATTGTGGCTATCCACCGCATTGGAGCTGCGTCGGTTATTAAGATCATGGAAGTGAAGGCGTCTCGCTAGATGAGGTACTCCGGTTTTGTGTTCTCGTGGTCTAACTTAATTCTTATTGACATAGAATAAAGCCGTTCTTTCGGCTGGCAACGAACACTCTCCCATTTTTAATAATACGATTTTGTTTTTTCTTTTTTATTTGCTTCTTTCCTTTCGACACTTGTTTTCTACCAATTTTTTTTTTTGCAGGTGCTGCGATGGTGGCACTATATTGGTAAGAAAATCACTTTTTTTTTGCGATTCATTTGCAAAGAACTGAGAAAGAAGTTTCTTTGTTTACATGACTGATCGCGGGATGATGATGTTGGCAATGTTGTTGTGCCATGGATCGGCAAGGTGGGTGGCCAAGTTCTGCAAGGGACCTGTTCCTGGATAGGCTGCTGCTTGGGCGCAGAATCCCAAGAAAGCGAGCAGTGCAAGACGACCTGCAAGCAAGCAAGCAAAAATGGTATGATGTTCACTGCCAACTTTGAGAAAATGCTCACCGTTTTTCACTTCCTTCAGCTTGAACTCCTCGAACTTCTTCGGGTCCTTGGAAAATCCAAGAGGGTCGAACGCGCCGCCGGGATACTTGCGTTTCTCAGCGCTCGGCACGCCGATCCTCCGCGACTCGACAAAGGCTATGGCAACGAACTCGATCGCAATGATCACTGGAAGGGTCCCCCACGGGACTGGAGTTCCAAGGTACGTGGCTTGTCCGCCAGGAGTCGCGGCCCACTGTTGTGCCTCAACCCAGTTTCCTAGTCCTAGAGCTTCCGGAATGAGGCATCCAGGCTGAAAGCAGCGCACAAAGCTTGAGGATCCACACACAATCTACGAGAAAAACGTTTCCCAGGTACTTACGACTGCCAGCATTGCCCATCTGCAGTGGATGAGCTCTGACTCCTTGAATCGTTCCAGGTTGTCGGGAACTTCTCCAAGTCCCAGTGGATCGAATCCAAAGTCACTGGAAGGACAAAGCGCTCTCACTTGTAAGCTATGAGAAACTAGATCTCTTGGAAGTTTAAACTCACCCAGGGGCTGATCCGTCTAGGTAGGCTGGACGAGGCTGTCCTGGGAGCCACTCTGCGGACATGCTGACCCTGCTTCCATTGGAGAATGCAGCACCGGGAGTGGTGATGGCGCTTCCGAAAAACTTGGACTTTTGAGTTCCAGCTAGAGTTGGAGCCACAGCCGCTGCTACAAGCTGCGAACACGCCATAGCAGTCGCCATTGCCCGACGTAAGATCTAAACTCCCAAGTGCTCCCTCTCACTCACTCGCCGGGATTGGAGTTTCTGGAAGAGAGAAGATCACCGCGAGGTTCCAGATTTTAGTTCTCGTGTCCCCACCACGCCGGCTCCTGTGTGGTGTTCCTTGACGGACTTCAAGGCCAGCCTCCAATCTGGTTTAATGTCGATATTGGATAGAGCGCATTGTTTTCTCATTGGCTCTCTCGCTCTCCGTTGGATATGCCACCTATTCTGGGAATCGAACCTGCCACCTTCACATAACTGAATTTATAAATGTGTAACATATAATCAAAGAAAAGAACAAGATATGATTTAAGTGATAATTTATAAAGTTTATTATGACTTTAAATAGTATGTTATATATATATTTTCTGACCTTTTGTCTGTAACCAAACATTTTAGGTTTACCGAAATTCATTTACCTGAAAAAGGAAATAATAAGCTTTTAAAACTTTTTAAAACCTACTAAAATGCAATATCTTGTATAGATAAAATAATGGTACTTCATAAAGTTTTTAAGAACTTTTACTATCAATCATACAAATTATATAAAATTAACTTACCGTCAAGAAAACTAAAATCAATTCATGTAATTGATATGTGTAAGATGTCATATTGAGATTCAAAAGGTAGTTGTTTACTGAAAAATGTTTTTTTTTTTGTCTACTTTATAATTGAACTTGGGCAATAAAGGATTTATCATATCATTATACTTAACAATCTTACTTAATACTAACTTTACTATATTTTTCTGTAAATAAATATAGAAATTTATTTTTTATATGTTTATTTTGTGCATATAAATTCTAAGTTGGATATAATAGAAAACTAAAAGATTAATTCTTGTTAAGCTTATTTCTTAATTAGTACTATTACTTATGATTAAACATGAAATACTACATAAAGATATGTTAAACTACAATAAGGATTCATGCCAGGATGTGCCAATCAAGGATGGAGTGAGACTTGCTTGTTCACCGTTACAGAAAGACTATATCCAGTGCGATATGTTTTAGGTCACTCTAACACTTTGCACAAGGAAGTATGGTAAAGCTAGGCTGATTCTTCTAAACATTAGAGCTGCTGCACAGCAACCCAAGAGGCACACACACTCATGCAAATGAAGTGCAAGAAATAAACAAGTAATGGGAGGCCAAAAAGATAAATTCCATCGATAAGCACATAGAAACATTTTTAGGGTTAAAGGTTTGAGCTATAATAGAGCACAAACTCTCCCCTAATCAAAATCCTTGGTGATTGATTATATTTATTTATTTATTATAAATATCTATATTATAAATTTAAACATAATTTGTATTAGTGATAACAATTTACAAACTTTGAATTAAAGAAAATTCTAAAATATAGTTCCTAAATGTTTTAGGTATACGTTTTACACCTTTAGATCGCTCGAAATTTACATATGGTTTGTATTAATGATAACAATTTACAAAGGAAGTTTAAGAGAAGCCGAATCAAAGAAATATCTAAAATATAATTTAGGAATATATTTTTTACACCTTAGCACACTATTTCTGAGTATTAGTGTAAAGCACCCCAGAGGGTTAAAGTGGGCATGGAAACGTGTCGCGTATGCGTGAAACCAGAATCAGCGGCACTCGGCGATCAACGTCTTTCTCCTGCGCTCGCCTGGTGGGTCGACTCGAGCCGGTCGATCCCCCAATCGGCAGCTGGGTCTTTTCCAAGGTATTGTTCCTTGTCTCCATAGCTAGAAGCCCTCGTTCCCAGCTCCTCAAAAATCTTTTCCAGGTGTAAGTTGAAAGCCAACCCTGCTCGGCAATTCATTGGGGTTTGAGCGGATCTACATTTCTGGATCTAATGGGCTATCCGGAAGAGAATGGAGTGCGCCAAGTTGATATCACGGTGGCCAAGGGGACGAGAGAAAATGGCGACGGTGGTCGTGTCATGCACTTAACAGGCGAGCTCAATCAAGGAAGCAATGATGAAGTGGTGGAGGAGATTGCGGTGGATGGAAGTAAGGACGATGCTAGAAGCCAGCTCTACGTGGATACCGAAGATCTAAACAGCGATGGCGGCGATTTACTGCTCGGCAAGCCAGGGATTGTTCGCTTGGATCCCGAAGACGTGGAGAAGATTGAGGAGATGACCAAGTCTGAGTTTGTGGATGATTCTTCTAGTCGTCTGCGAGTTGCGAGCACCATGCCTTGCGGGACGATTAATCTGATCCTGGACGAGACTGCTCAAAAGGACGGTGGTGGTGGTGGTGATGGCGGCGATGACGGTGGTGCTGGTGATGGCGGTGATGGTGGTGCTGGTGATTTGCATCCTCCACAAACACCAGGTTCGTTCCTTTTGAGACTTTCTATGGTGTTCTTTAGTTTTTTTCGCTGTTCTCTCTAAAGGATTGGTGCGAACAAGCAGTGAGCCTTGTTTGGATTCCAAGAGTGGCAAATATAAGGATGCCAAGCCTCACAAGAAGCACAAAATATCACATCGCAAGAAGGTATAAAACATTTTTTTTTTTTCCCTCTTCCAGTATCAACTTGTGTGTGTATTCTTTTTTTTCTTTTCTTTGTCTTCTCAGAGGCGGCTTATGCGACGCCTCGGCAGCATTACTGATGAAGGTGCCGTTGAAATCAACGCAGACAAAGGATTGGAATTCTTACCGGATTTGGACGACTATCTTGTCTACGAAGAGTCGGCTTACCAGGACATCGAAGACAAGAAAATCCCTCCTCTGCAAATTGCGATGCTCATTGTTGGGACTCGTGGTGATATCCAGCCCTTTGTCGCGATAGGAAAAGAGCTACAAGTACGTTTTTTTATTTTTCTCTTATCGCCTAAGACTCTCATCTTCTTCTTCTTCGCGTGATAATCAGAAATACGGCCATCGTGTACGCTTGGCAACGCATGTCAACTTTCGAGAGTTTGTAAAGACGCATGGACTAGAGTTTTATCCTTTAGGAGGTGATCCAAAGGTATTAGCGGGATGTAAGTGGTTTTCCAGCCTTCTATTTTTCAGTTCCTCACACGCTCTTTCTTCCTGGGTTTTTTTCTGCAAAGGATAGACATGGTGAAAAATAAAGGATTTCTACCATCCGGACCAAAGGAAATCAAGCTCCAGAGGAAGCAGATCAAAAGCATTGTAAACTCCTTGTACCCGGCTTGTACCGAGCCAAACGAGGACACGCTTGTCCCATTCAGAGCTCAGGCGATTATTGCCAATCCACCAGCGTATGGTACGCTTTTTTTCTCCAACCTTTCTTTCTTTTCCCTGAGAGTTTTTATGTTTCCGAGTACGTTTCAAGACATGTTTTTGCAGGGCATGTTCATGTTGCAGAGGCATTGAATGTTCCGATTCACATCTACTTCACCATGCCTTGGACGTAAGCTGTTTATTGAAAACACACTTCGAGACTGGAGCTTGCACGATTCTTTGTATTTTTTCCTGAGTTTTGGGCTGTCAATCTTTGCAGGCCCACCAGCGAGTTTCCTCATCCTCTGTCTCGTCTCAGTAACATTGCTGCCAATCGAGTGAGTGCCTAAGATTTACAGCTTTTGTTTTTCGTGGTAAGAATGGTTTTTTCGCAGCTCTCGTACCAAGTGGTCGATTCGATGATCTGGCTGGGGATCAGGAGCTTGATCAATGACTTTAGGAAGAAGAAGCTAAAGCTACGTCCTGTTTCCTACTTTAAAAGCCAGGGCTCCATAGTTGATCTCCCTACGTGTTATCTCTGGAGCTCATGCCTCGTCCCAAAGCCCAAAGGTTCGTTCCAATCAACTTGTAAACTACTTGTAAACTTTGTCTTTCATTCCAGATTGGGGTCCTCGTATAGATGTGGTGGGATATTGCTTCTTGGACCTGGCCAACGATTACAAGCCCTCGGAAGATCTTGTAAGATGGCTTGCACAGGGAAGCAAGCCCGTCTACATCGGATTCGGCAGCTTGGTAAGTCTTGTCTTTGGAAAAAATCTTCCTTTTTATTTCTCATTGATTCATTGGGTGTTTGCTTGCTACCTATAGCCTGTCAAGGATCCAGTAAAAGTCACGGAAACAATTATCAGCGCTCTGGAGAAAAGCCGTCAGAGAGGACTGATTGACAAAGGATGGGGTGGCATTGGTCGAGGCAGTAAGTAAAAACAAAAAAAAAGCAAGCTTTGAAACTTTGCAATGTATCAATGCTTAGAAACTTGCATTGTTTTTGGTTCTGCAGTGGAAAACGATCATCCAGATTTTGTCCACTTCATCGAAAACTGTCCTCACGATTGGCTGTTTCCACAATGTGCTGCAGTGGTACAAAGTTTATTTCTTCTCCTCGATTCGCGATTCGCTTGAGTTGAGTTCTTTTAAAACTGGATGCTGGACTTTTGTTCCAGGTTCATCACGGTGGAGCTGGAACAACAGCTGCTGGTCTCAAAGCCGCGGTAAAGTTGTTTTTTTCTAAAAAATTTGCTACTTTCTCTGTTTTATCATCCATTTTTCTCTCCATGCAAACAGTGTCCTACGACTGTGGTACCTTTCTTCGGAGACCAGCCCTTTTGGGGTGCTCGCGTACACGATAGAGGAATCGGTCCTACTCCGATTCCCATTGACAAACTCTCGCTGGACAATCTTGTGGAAGCCATCGAGTTTATGATGTCCCCCGAGGTATCTATCCTTCCTTTATTTTCTTGCGCATTGGATTGAGACTGAGAGCGAGAGGAGAGCTGGTAGCTAGTCCTTCACAGATTGCGTAGATGGATTCCTCCAACTTTGTTTGTTTGTTTGATTTTTCTTTTCACGAGTTTAAACCTTTGCTCTTTTTTTTTCACACAGGTGAAGCAACGAGCCGAGGAAGTGGCAAAGTGCATTCATGAAGACGATGGCGTGCGCGACGCGGTCAAGGCCTTTCATAAACAGCTGCCTAAAGTTATGCCGCAGCCACCACGGTCGAAATCGCCAACTTCGCGTCGGGGTATGTTCAATCATATGTGCTGCTACTCCACTTAGCCAAGAACGCAAAAGGCAAAACGACCGATCCATCGTTCAATCGATGAGTAAGTTCTGCGTTCCAAATCTAGTTGCCCTCCTCGCTCACGGGATCACTTCTAGAGAGATAAAAGAGCTCGTGAACTTAAGCAAAGTTTTATTCTTTTCATCTTCACAGGTTTTTCTTCTTCTTTGGAAAGCTCCCCGCTACTACTTTTCAGCTCGCTTTGCTTACGCTCACGGGACTCGGCCAAGGCAGTGCTTTTGTAAGATAGCACTGCGAGACTCTTCTCCTTAGAATGAGATGAGAATTTCCCCTTTTTAATTTTAAGGGCCTTTTTGTAAAGGCGAGTTATCCTTTAATCTCCTCCTCTTTTCTTCCTTTCAACCTTTGGGCGATCTTCGAAACGTTCGTTCCTGACTGATTTGATTCCACACCCACCCAACCAACTTTGGTTCGTTGGAGGGCTTCCATCGCGGAACCGTGCCAAGAGCAAAGTTACCATGGGGTTATTTAATTTTACTCGCTGGGTGGAAAAACCATTGCCCCACCAGTTTAATTAGCGCCATTTAGTGCGCGCAATTAGGACTAAAACACGATGGGAATATCCATGTATTAAAGGGAGTCTGTTGTGGGGCTTTCAATGTCTCATTTAAAGAACCACAATCCTCATGGACATGACAAGATGTTTGAATGGGACATGGGACCTACCCCAGCCATCATACATGCATGTGTGCATGGGGGTCATGGATGGCATACCTGGCCAGCCTGGATGGCATTGACATTCCGTTGCCGGGTAAAAGCCTGACATACATATTCCTCGCGCCACATGGACGGCGGAGATGCCGTGGCGGCATCCACGCATGCAATGGTGCCATGATGGGGTGTACATGACGTGGCTCCCACCGATCGCCCGTTGATGCAGCCGGCGAGGAGTTAGGTGGTGTAAAAAGGGTGAAAGGAGGCTATTTTAACCTGCCAGCGTGGCGTCCTAGCTGGCAGGGCTGGGTCGCGTTCACACGAGGAGGGCTTCCAGCAATCCAGTTTTAACACTGCGGCTTGGAGGAGCTCGAGGTTTTTGCGAGCCGCGCGTATTGCTCGTGCTTGGCTATGGCGCCCTTGGCTTGCGTGTGGACGAGCGTGCTAGGGATTCGCGGCAGGAGCCGGAGCGCATGGAATCGGAGGAGCTGAGCGCTGGATCTGTCGAAATTTCCAGGAGAAGGTACTAGATCTGAGCATTCGAGTGAAAATTTGCAATGCGGTTGTGTCTCAAGAGTGATTTCTCGTCTTGCCAGGGACAAGTGGAAGGGGGATTGCGCGCTACAGCAGAGAAATATCATCGAGCACGGTGAGCCCAGCAGTAAAATCTCACTGCGCTGTGGAAGATGCGAGCTCACGAACCTACATTGCGACCTCTTCTTGCAGGAAAGCCAATGGCTGAGGTGATGTGAGGTCACTCACACACAGTCCATAGGTAGCGCCATGGAAAGATCCAACGGAACAACAGGCCATGGCTACCTCTTTGCAATGCTGCTGGCCTGTGGAGCACTCCTTATGCTACTGGAGATCGCCAGCGCCGACGACGTTTCCTCGCTACTGGCCTTCAGGAGTGCTGTGGATCCGGGCAACCAGCTGAGGAGCTGGAACAGGAACACGAATGTGTGCCAGTGGACAGGGATCAAATGCTCGAATGGCACCACAGGTCGGGTGAGAGAGCTGCGAGTTCCTGGATCCAGCCTCTCTGGGACGATTCCAAATGGATCAATTGGTGGCGTGGAGGAGCTCCGGGTGATAAGTCTCAGGATGAACAGGCTCTCCGGTCCATTCCCCGCGGATTTTCTCAGGCTGAGGCAGCTCAGGAGCATGTTTCTCCAGAACAACAACTTTTCGGGGCCACTCCCCAGGGATTTCTCGGTGTGGCCTAGCTTAGTGAGATTGGACGTGGCCTTCAACCATTTCGACGGGCAGATACCAGTGTCACTAAACAACCTCAGTCGGCTGGCGACTCTCTACGCGCAGAACAATTCTTTTACGGGTGGTCTCGCCGGTCTCAACTTGCCCAGGCTCAAGCAATTCAGCGTCGCAAACAACCAGCTCAATGGTAGCGTTCCTGCCGCTTTGCAAGCCTTTGGAAGCGATGCATTTGGTGGTAACCAGATTTGTGGGCCTCCGCTGGCCGAGGATTGTGTTTCCTCGGCGCCACCTTCGCCAGCCCCGTCTTCAACTTCTCCAACAACGACGAACACGCCGGGAAGGAAGCACAAGAAGGGCCTTAGCACTGGTGCGATCGTCGGGATCGTCGTGGGAAGTGTAGTCGGCGCATTGCTGCTACTGCTTCTACTCTTCTTCCTGTGCTGCAGAAGGAAGGGTGGCTCTCCCAAGGCTGCTGACAGATCTATCGAAGCCAAGGGTGAGGAGGTGAAGGATCCGGATCGTTCGGTTTTCGCACAGGGTGAACCGGAGAAGAGCAAGCTGATCTTCTCCGAGGGCGCACCTTACAAGTTCGACTTGGAAGATCTCCTGCGTGCTTCTGCCGAGGTCTTGGGTAAAGGAAGCGTTGGTACAGCTTACAAGGCAGTGCTGGAAGATGGATCGGTCGTTGCGGTGAAGAGGTTGAAGGACGTTTCAATTTCGGGCAGGGAATTCGAGCAGCAGATCCAGACGATTGGCAGGCTTCAGCATCCGAATCTGGTGCCACTCCGAGCGTATTATTTTTCAAAGGATGAAAAGCTACTGGTCTACGACTACATGCCAATGGGGAGTTTGTCTGCTCTTCTACACGGTACGTGAATCCACTGTTGATGTTGTTTTGTTTTCTTAACTCCCATTTCCACACACATGGAACAGGAAGTCGTGGAGCTGGACGTACTCCATTGGACTGGGTCTCGCGCGTCCGCATCGCCCTGGGAGCAGCACGCGGGATCACGTACCTCCACGAGCAGGGTGGCAGCAACTTCGTCCACGGAAATATCAAGTCTTCCAACATCCTCCTCAAGAAGAACTACGATGCTGCCGTGTCCGACTTCGGCCTTGCGCAGCTATTCAACTCCAGCTCCGCGGCCTCGAGAATCGTGGGCTACAGAGCCCCCGAAGTTGCCGAGACGAGGAAGTCGACGCAGCGCTCCGACGTCTACAGCTTCGGGGTGCTCCTCCTGGAACTGCTGACCGGCAAGGCTCCCACGCAGGCCTCCCTCAACGACGAGGGGATCGACTTGCCGCGCTGGGTCCAGTCGGTGGTGCGCGAGGAATGGACCGCCGAGGTGTTCGACTTGGAGCTAATGCGGTACCAGAACATCGAGGAGGAGATGGTCCAGTTGCTCCAGGTGGCGATGGCGTGCGTGGCGACATCGCCGGACCAGCGTCCCAAGATGAAGGACGTGGTGAGAATGATCGAGGACATCAGGGCCGTGGACACGGACGACGGCTCCAGATTGCCGTCTGATAAATCCGAGGAGAAGTCCAATGGCCACACTTCTCCATACTCGCACACGCCAGGATCGGACGCCTCGCAGGATACTCCGCCCAAGCAGCAGCCACTGCCGCCACAGCAACAACAGCAACAGCCTTAGAGCAGCAAGAAAGATCAAAGGGAGGTACTTTATTTTCTCTCATCATCCATCCATCCAGGAACCAGGAAGAACATCCCCAGCAGGAAGAACATCAGGAGCAGCAGGAGCAGCAGCAGCAGCTTGGATTGTAACAGAAACAAAATTCAGCAGCTGCAGCAGCAGCAGCAGGAGGAGGTATTAAAAGTTTTCATTTTCATTTTGGCTCTTTTTCTTTTTCTCTTTCGCCCTCCATCTTTTTGTGTGTATTCTTTCATTGAGTGAGTTCCACTTTGTGCAAAATAAGCTATTTATAATTCCTTCACATTTGATTAATAACCACTGTTTCTTCTATCAGCAGAGAAAGAAGAATTTTCCTTGTGCAATAAATGCTAATCTAATACTAATCATAGTTAATAATAGTGCTCTGTTTCTAGGGTTCCAAGAACTCGGGCAGTCCTGCTTAGCTAGAATGTGTGCCCTAGAATCATCCATGTCTCCTTCCACTAGTGTCTTTGATCAATTGGCCAACAAGGCGACCAAATGGGGAGTGACGGGCTTGGCTGCCGCGGTGGTGCTATGGCGCCACGATCCCGCGGCGATGTGGGCGGTCACTGGCGCGATCGTCAACAGCGCCAACGCCAAATTCCTCAAGCAATGCATCAACCAGCAGCGTCCAGCCACTGCGGTGCTCAAGACTGATGCAGGAATGCCCTCCACCCACGCCCAATCTCTCGGCTACCTCTCCACCTACGCGGCAATTGGGATCGCGGGATGGAACGGACTAAATCTCGTCTCCCTGGGGCTGTGTGCCATTGTTCTTGGCTGCGCCGTCTACCTCGCGTACCTTAGGGTTTGCACGGGATTGCACAGTGGAGCCCAGGTGGTGATAGGGGCTGCTATCGGGAGCTCCAGCGCGCTGGTGTGGAGCTGGATATGGAAGGCTGTAGTGGCGCGATACATGGTTGAGATGCCATGGATATCTATGGCTGTGTGGATCGCATTCCTCGTCACGGTGAGTTCGTTCGTGGCATTTGTAGTGAAAAATTGGAGAATTGGAGATGCCTAAACAACTTTTTCCTGGTCCTAAAGATAATTTGAATTCTTAACTTAAAATTTAATCAGAACATTGAAATAGTATTTGAGAAATTCAATATTACAAACTAAAGCAGTGTAAAAATAAAATTGAACAAGATAAATAGATGTTTATAAAAGCCATGGGAACCTACATGCACTCACACTTCAAATCTAAGAACTTTGAGGGGAAGTTGTGGAAGTAGTGTAATTTTAAATATAATAAAGAGTATTTAAATATTATTATTTAGTTTAACAACTTATAGAGTTTTATATATTGTGAGATCATAGTTTTTACATCGAGGGTAGGAGAATAAAGTTCAAATATGTAAGGCATAAAGGAATTTAATAAACAAATGGATCACAAAGTCATCAATGCGTTATATTATAATTCATCTTTCTTAGGTGGGTGTTATTAGACTTGTAAATAGCTAATGACTGAATCATAATTTACCAATATTATAATAAGAAATATAAAAATTAATAGTTTAAATTTAATACATGATGACAGAAAAGGTTAAAATTGAAGTACAACAATAAATTAAGGGTCATAGGCACATAGTTATTATTTTTTCTTTATTAAATATTTAATTATTAGGAGATGTTATTTCATTTTTAAATACCTATAAATAATATGATTTACAAATGGAAAACCAAATAATGTTTTCCAGATTTAGTTTTATTAATATATTGTTTCTGATTTCCTTTTTATGCATATATTCTGAAGGTATGATTGAGTATATAGGAAAAGAGGGTGTCATACCTGTAGGTGGTCCTCGTGATGTTATTATGTCTACCCTTGATGAAGTTATGAATCGTATCAACTCAGATTATAGTTATTCTTATGGACAAGCTTTTGCCCTTTTTAATGTGATTGGGTCATTTAGGGTGTTAGTAAGTGCCTGGTTATTAAGTCCTGTAAATGATCAAGGCTATTGTAGTGGTCAATATGATAAATTTGCTGGAGCTTCTGGTGATGATTTTAAAAATGGTTTATGGCCTATTTACCATGTACTCAAAGATGTAAGCACATGGAAGGGGTATGATGCTATAGTTATAGTTAATGCAAATTTTATGGTTTTCTATTATTTAAGATATGGTTCAGAAATACCAAACTTAAACATTTTAAAGATTAATGGGTCAGAAACTTCAGATATTATAAATCCCCAGGATTTTTATGATTGTTCAATATCATATACAGGTCTTATTACTGGAGATGATTATAATACATTTGCAGTTATGGAACCAGGTACAACAAAATCATCACCAAATAAACATTATGAATTAATTCTACAACATAATTGTGAGCTTATATTTATGGATGTGATAAACGATGAGATAAAGTTCAAAGCTGGTAATGGTAATGGAGGGCAATATGGTTGTAAATTAAGACTCCAATCAGATGGAAATTTAGTATTATATCAAATAGATGGAACATCAATTTGGAGTGTAAATGAGTATTGTTCTCCATCACCTTGTGAATTAGTATCTGTTTTAGCTATTCAAGATGATGGAAACTTAGTGTTGTATCGTTGTTTGAATGGTCATGTGGCATGGTCTTTATGGTAGAGCACAGATTTATAAGATTCAAAACAATCAATAAAAAAGAGAATGTTTGTGCATTCCTTTAAAATCTAGGGCCATACTGAGCATGGCTTGGTGGAAGAGCTAAATCCTTGCATTCCCCTCCAGTAGTTCGATGGATTCATACTCTCGGAAATCAAGGAGCAGCATTGAGGCTCATCATCCTCAATAGTTAATTATAGACCTCTGTTTCTAAGGTTTGAATTGCATTCCACGCTCTACCCCTAGAATCATCCATGTTCGTCTCCCAGCGTCTTTGATCAATTGGCCAACAAGGTGACCAAAAGGGGAGTGACAGCCGCGGTCACCACGATCCCGCGGCGATGTGGGCGGTCACTGGCGCGATCGATGCATCAACCAGCAGCGTCCAGCCACGGCGGTGCCCTCCACCCACGCCCAATCTCTCGGCGACCTCTCCACCTACGCGGCAATTGGGATTGCAGGATGGAACGAACTAAATCTCGTTTCCCTGGGGCTGTCCCCCATTGGTCTTGGCTGCGCCATAGGGTTTGCACGGGATTGCACAGAGGTGGTGATAGGGCGCGGTGGTGTGGAGCTGGATATGGAAGGCTGTAGTGGCGCGATACACGGTTAGAAATTCGAAATATTCCAGGCGCTGTCGCAGCAGGGCGCGGTGATCTTCCGCTGTTGCCGTGCGTGCATCCAAGCGGTAACTAGCTTGAATGTGGATCGCATTCCTCGTTGCGGCGAGCTCGTTCGTGGCATTTGTAGTGAAAAATTGGAGAATTGGAAAGGCCTAAACCTTTTTCTTGATTATTATTTATCGTTCTTCAAATACTAATGATTTTGTGATGGAAATTTCCATCTCCACATTCCTACTCCACACTACTACTCCAGATCTAAAACTTTTCTAGCATCTCCACTCCAGACTAGTCTTTATCAGCCAAACAGCTTCTTTCAATTTTATTCTTTACTTCTAAAAAGTTTATATTGAAACATTCAAAGAACTGAAAAAATAATTGACAACATTCTTAATTTAAAATTTAATTATAATATAAAATTTTGTGAGATCCAAGTGTATAGTGGATTGGTTTTAATCCAGACCTCTCACTCCTATATATAAACTAGGGTTTTTGTGTTAATTAATATGCACATTTTTTATATTCCCTTTTTATATTCCAAACACTCATATTGGTGGAAATGAAAAACAATAAATGAGGGGCACCTTTCATTATCTCTGAGGAGTGCTTGGATTTAGAATTTTAGTTTACATTTAACTTTTGCATCGTTTAGATCTAATTTTTTCCATTTCCTTTCTTTTATTCTTTCCTTTTAGGATTTTGGTTTAGATTTAGCTTTTCCATTGTCTAGATCTTCTATTCCTTCTAGTTTTTTCTCATTTCTCTTTTTTTGTTTTTTCCTTTTCATTCATTTTCATGGCAGAGCAATAGTCTCATCCTTTGACTCTGGAGCAATATTTCTTTTTCATTCATCTTTATGGCAGAGTAATAGTCTCCTCCTCTGACTCTGGAGCAATAGTTGGTGCAATTACTTGATGCCATGCGATTGCAATTGAACAACTAAACTCAATTGATGGCAACATTCACAGTATGCAGTACAGCTCCTCCTGCTCTTGGTGCCAATCCTTGTGTTCAGCTAAAGTTCTTTTATGGGAATCCTGGGGATGATCTGGATTATTGGTTCGATCCCTTCATGGTGATTGCCACATATCATTTTTGGGATGATGTTTGACATTTGCATGAGTTTCCTACATGTCTCCAAAGAATGGCATTGTAGTGGTTGAGTACAGCCATTCATGGGGATTTGAGTGTTCTTCTGGACATCTTTAAACGTGCATTCAAACAAGCCACAATTGTGATGATGCTTTCCAGCAATTGTATCGTCTTCATCAAGGGCCATTTGAGTTAGTAATGCAATTTGGCATTTGTTTCTAAAGCCTCTTGCTTTGTGCGAAGCCAAATATGTCGGAGCGAATCAAGTTAGGAATGTTGTGGCTAGCACTTTGTCAATATCTTGTTGGACTTGTGCATGCACTTGCTTCAGCCACCCTTGACAATGCTCTTCGCTTGGCACAACGTTATGAGACATCGCCTTTTCCAGTTCTCACTACAGGTCTTTCCGCTCCACTTTCTGTGGGCGATGGTCCTGTTCTAATGGAGGTTGATGCTGTTGCTGCTCGAGTCCAAGGATAAGGGCAAGGACGTGGTCATAGCCTTGATGTTCATTGTTGGGCGTGTGATGAAGTTGGTCATACTTATCAACGTTGTCAGCATTTTCCAGATTGGCGACCTCCATTTACTAAGTGGAGACCTTGGCGTCAACAACGTCTTGTTAGTGCTGCTACAATGGAAAGTCTGGACACCGAGATGCATCTGGGAAATAAAGAGTCACGTGAGTAATGGAGGGACCTTGCACAAATAAGTCAGTGATCCTTCCATCTTTCTTTCGATAGTATCATTAAGGGGTTCACTTGGCACTAGTTCATCCAATGTTTACTTTCCAAGCTCATTTTTATAAAAAGAGGTTTCCTATTATTCTCTCTATGTTGGTTGATACAAGTTCGAGTTTATCTTCTATTGCTCAACCTGTTGCCATGCATTGCCATCTACACTTGCGTTGTGCAGCGGAACTAATTTTCATTCTTTATGGCAACGGTTGTACACATGCATGTGCATGGGATGAGGCGGACTTGGTTGTGCATGTGGGTGATTTTGAGCTTGAGTTGCAGTCATTGTGGGTGGTGCTGAGTCAAACTTTCAACCTCATTCTTGGTATAGATTGGTTGTAGCGCAATCATGCCAAGTGTGACTTTGAGGCTTCTCCCCCTTGTCTCATATTTGCTTATATTTTATTCATTCCTTTCACTTCTATATTTCTTCGTCCCTTTATTTCTACCTTTACTTCCATTACTTTGTAACCCTATTATTTCCTCCTATGTTTCCATCTTGTTCTACTCTTCCCTTTTCCGATCCCTCCAACAATCTTTGTACTACAATGGTTGACTGGCTCATGAAGGAGTATTGTAATCTCTTTGAATTTGACTTATCGTCTAGAGCCAAGATTGCCACACGTCATCGAATTCCAACCAGGAATGCTCGTCCAATCAAGGTTCCTATTTGTTGTCGGTCACCCAAAAAGATCAAGATTTTACGTGCAAACATCAAGGAGATATTGGAGAAGGGTGTTATTCAAAAGTCATGGAGTCCTTGGGCATGTGAACCTCATCTGTAATGAAGCCTAATAGGAGTATTCGTTTCTGCATCGACTATCGTCCGTTAAATGAAGTGACAATCCCGGATGTGTACCCTCTTCCTCACACTGCTGATCTTGGATCGTTTGCGGCGAAGTCATTGGTTCACTAAGTTAGATCTTGCTTTTGGGTACTGGTAAGTACCGATGGCCGAAGAAAATATTCCTAAGACTACTTTTTGTACACTATTTGGTTTTTACGAATTTTTGGTGATGCCTTTGGTTTAAACAATGCTTTAGCAATTTTTCAATGAATGATGGACGAGGTTCTTTGCGATGTGCCAAAGGTGACTACTAACTTCATTAATGATATCTTGATCCACTCAAAGGGGACATGAGAAGACTACGTTTGTGATGTTTGTAAAGTGTTAGATCGGTTATGGGATGTTGATTTAAAGCTGAAGCGGTCAAAGTGCATGTTTAGGTCCAAGGACACAACTTATCTGTAAGCTCCTGAGTTTGGACATGTTTAGGTCCAAGGACACAACTTATCTGTAAGCTCCTGAGTTTGGACTTCCCGGGAGGTCACCCAGCTCAGTACTATTCAAACCCAAAGACACTTAACCCCAAATATCCCAAGATCCTTAATCGATTAGAACACTATTATTCATGGGCCATTTTCTTCTATATTTGAACCCTATGGATCGTTTTTCAAGTTGTTCCCTTTAGTTGCTTACAATCCACCATTGGGAAAGCCCTGCTCTCTTAACACCCTACTCTTCGGGTCAAGCCCAGTGGGAGCAAACTAGACTAGTTAGATGTCACTTAACATGTGATGTGATTCCCCTAGCCAACCAACAGAGTCAGACCCAAGACCCCTCTGATACCAAATGTAAGCTCCTGAGTTTGGACTTCCCGGGACGTCATCTAGCCTAGTACTATTTAAACCCAAAGACACTTAACCCCAAATATCCCAAGACCTTTAACCGATTAGAAAAGGGGGTGCACTATTATTCATGGGCCCTTTCCCTCTATATTTGAACCCTATGGATTATCTCTCAAGTCATTTCCTTTAGTTGTTTACATTATCTTGGGTATCGTATTTCTTGTAAGGGTTTACAAGTTGATCATGACAAACTTGTGGCTGTTCTAAAGTTTCCTACTCCGAAGTGTGTGAATAATGTGCAACGCTTCTTAAGCAAGGTGCAGTATTTCGATCATTTTGTGAATTATCTTTTTGATTGCACTGCACCATTGCAAGTGTTGCTGAAGTTATCAACGTCATCTTTCATTTGGTCTCCAGATTGTGAGCAAGCGTTCGTGGATTTTAAAGGGCTCTTGATGACTCCTCTGGTTTTGGCATATCCTGACTACACTCGACTTTTTATTTTACGCGTGGATGCTTTTGATATTGATCTTGGAGGTGTGTTGATGCAAGAGAGCCTGAGTGTGCCTGGTCAGCGCCATCCCATTGCATATATAAGTCATACATTACAACCAGCAGAGGTGAACTACTCCACGATAGAGAAGTGTTTAGCAGTAGTCTAGGGTTTCAAAAAACTTCATGCATATCTACATGGTTCTTAGACATTATTTGAAGGTGATCATGCTGCCATTACTTCATTATTGAAGTGAAAGAATTTGATTGGTTATACTGTTCGGTGGGCTTTGAAGCTTTAGATAAATGATTTTGATATTGTTCATCACCCAAAGAGTTTTATATATGATGTTAATGCCCTTTTTTAAGCTCCTCTTCCTTCTCCACTCTCTTCCCATGTTTCTGATGAGTCTGTTGTTCCGGCATCTGTGGATTTTCTAAACAAGGATTCTGTGCCGTCGACGGTTGGTTCAATGTCCACAAGGTGTAAAACAAGATCAATCTTCTCTTGATGAGATTCACGAGGCTCAAAAGCTTGAGCCATGGATTCGAAGGCTTCGAGATGGGTTTGAGAATCTTGCATCACTTGTTGATGACTTGCCATTCCGGCATTTATATTCTTAGTATTGCTTTAAAGACGGCCTTCTTTATTTTGTGGGGACAGATCCTAATGATCCTTTACGGCTGGTGGTGCCTTTCGCCTTTATTCCACGGTTTCTCCATACTTACTATGATTCTTCTGTTCTAGGCGGGTATATAGGATATTGTCGTGTGACTGAGAAGTTGCACAGATCTTTCTATTAACCAAAGATGTGACATGATGTTATCTAGTATATGTATAGCTATGTTTGGTGCCAAGCTTGTAATACTCCCCCTCATGTTGTGGAAGGACAGTTGAAGTCAATTGCAATTTCCCATCTATTTGAGTTGTTAGCATTTGATCTTATAGGACCTTTTCCACGATTAATTGCTGACAATGAATATGTTATTGTTGCTTTTGACTAGTTGACTAGTTGGGCAGAAGTTGATGCTCTTATTAGTGCCTCTGTAACTGATATTGGATACTTCTTCCTCAATCAAGTGGTGTTTCAGCATTCTTGTTCGGAGCAGATTCTTTTGGATAATGGTTCTGCATTTATGGCTGAGGCATATCATGTTTTGACATCTTGGTTAGGGATATGCTACACTTTCACAAGTGCTTATCATCCACAATTAGACGGTTTGGTAGAATGGCTTGTTCGGACATTCAAAGGAATGATGGCGAAGTATGTGAATTTCAACATTTGAATTGGGATGGTTATTTGCTGTCTCTTCGGTATACATATGTCACAAGGGTGCAGAGTTCTATTGATGCTTCACCATATAAACTTTTACATAGTCATGATCCAATATTACCAATAGAGTTGGGTTTACCTTCGCGATTGCCACAAGCTGCTAATGCTAAGTTGTGGGATCAGTATTTAACGAGCATTCTTCCACTTGTCTGAGCAGAATCTACCAAACACTTAGGCTGCATACAAGTGGGATAACAACGGCATTACAACTCCAATCATTATCCACTTGCAAAATACAAAGTGGATGACTTGGTGTTAGTCCATTTTCCCTATCTTACGGTACGTGGTTTATTTAAAGAGCTCTTTGCTCAATGGAAAGGACCGTATCAGGTGTTGTGGCAAGTTGAACTGCAAGTTTATAAAGTTCGGCATGACATTTAACAGGCCGATCCTCTAGAAATTGTGCATGTGCAATAATTGAAACACTTCATACAAAGGGATTAAAAACAACTGAGACCACCTATAGATCCGCTAATGCCTCTTCCTAATGTTCCTCTAGATTCCAGCCCATTTACAAGAGAACCTTAATGGTCTTCCATTATTCCAAGAGCAGGGGATGATATGAGGTCCAAGTGTACAGCCACAATGCCATATATTAATATAAACTAATATTAGCATAGTGGGATTTTGGTAGCATTGGATTGGTTTCAATCCAGACCACTCACTTCTATATATAAGCTAGGGTTTTTGAGTTAATTGATATGCACATTTTCTGTATTCCCTTTCCATATTCCAAGCATTCACACTTCCAAAAGAATAAAGTAAAAGTGAAAAATAAAATTAGACTTAATATTAAACATATTTATGAGTAAAGCAAGTTTCAACTTTTGGCTGTATAAAACTCATTTATAACATAACGATAAGCAAAATCCACTCATTGTTAAAAGAAACAACAAAAATAACTGAAGAAAGACAGAATAAAGGATAAAAATCAATAAAAATAACTGAAGAAAGATAGAAAAAAGGAAAAGAATGATTTTATGTTCAATACTTTAGATTCTAAATATATAATAGGGGTAGGTTGGATGGCTCATAATTGGAGTTTAAATGTTTTAAGATTGTTTTAATGTTGTTATTTATATGCTTTCAGTTTTTATTTATATGCTCAAGAATTTAACTCTATCCCTTCATTTAGTGGTTTAAAGCCTTGAAACTTAAATCCTACTTTATTAATGCCAAAGGTTATACTCCACTTTTTTAGTTATCAAGTATAAGGTCAAAACTATATACGTTATAAAGCTTTGATACAATTGCTATAATTTGCTGATGATAGTGCACTCATAATCAATATCATTAAACATATTAGTAAACTGCTAAACAAAATGATTGAAATATTGGAAAACAAGGTCCAACTCTTTTCAAAAAGGGTAGGGAAACTATAAGCAATCAAAGAAAACAAATTTGAGAGATAATCCATTTAAGTTTAAATATAGAGGAATGGGGTTAAATGTTATTAGGACTTCTCATGAAGTTTAATTCAAAAATTTACATTAGGTATTAGAGGATAATTACATCATAATAATTATATTATATAATTATTATTATTTAGTATATATATACAAAACTTCTTTTAGCTTCAAAAATGTTATAGATTTAAATATGTTAGTAGTTAGTAAGGTATTTATTGTTGATAATTTTTCCCAAATTATATATAGTAAAAGAGGCAGTAATAAATTAAATTTAACAGAAAAGGTTTAAATTGATGTGCACATATTTATTATTTATTATTTATTAATTTAATCAGGAGAATATATGAGAGTTCATTTTTTATATAATCTTGTCACTTTTGATAAATCCATGTTAAAACTAATTTATAATACCTATAAATAATATACATTAAAAATGCAAAACAGAATAATGATTTCCAGATTTCTTTTTATTAATCTATTTCTAATTTCTTTTTTATGCATATATTCTGAATGTATGGTTGAGTATATAGGAAAAGAGGGTGTCATACCTGTAGGTGGTCCTCGTAACATTATTATATCTACCCTTGATGAAGTTATGAATCTTATTAGCTCAGATTATAGTTATTCTTATGGACAAGCTTTTGCCCTTTTTAATGTGATTGGATCATTTAGGGTGTTAGTAAGTGCATGGTTATTAAGTCCTGTAAATGATCAAGGCTATTGTAGTGGTCAATATGATAAATTTGCTGGAGCTTCTGGTGATGATTTTAAAAATGGTTTATGGCCTATTTATCATGTACTCAATGATATAAGCACATGGAAGGGGTATGATGCTATAGTTATAGTTAATGCAAATTTTATGGTTTTCTATTATTTAAGATATGGTTCAGAAATACCAAACTTAAACATTTTAAAGATTAATGGGTCAGAAACTTCAGATATTATAAATCCCCAGGATTTTTATGATTGTTCAATATCATTTACAGGTCTTATTACTGGAGATGATTATAATACATTTGCAGTTATGGAACCAGGCACAACAAAATTTTCACCAAATAAACATTATGAATTAATTCTACTACATAATTGTGAGCTTGTATTTATGGATGTGATTAAAGATGAGGAAAAGTTTAAAGCCGGTAATGGTAATGAAGGGCAATATGGTTGTAAATTAAGACTCCAATCGGATGGAAATTTAGTATTATATAAGAAAGATGGAACATCAAGTTGGAATATAAATAAATATTGTTCTCCATCACCTTGTGAATTAGTATCTGTTTTAGCTATTCAAGATGATGGAAACTTAGTGTTGTATCGTAGTTTGAATGGCCATGTGGCATGGTCTTTATGGTAGAGCACGGATCTCATGTGCATTATAAGATTCAAAATAATACATTACATAATCATTAAAATAGTAAATCTAGGGTTATACTGCCAGGGCATGGCTTGGTGGAAGAGGCCGTGGCGCTTGATCCGGTAAGCGACAGAGCTAAATCTTTGCATTTGAGTGAGAGTGCCCTCCAGCAGTTCGATGGATTCATACTCTCGGAAATCAAGGAGCAGCATTGTCCTTGTCGATCAAACAAGGAGCGCCTTCTCCAGTTCCAGGCCGCATCTTCGAGAGCTGGGAGAAAATCTCCAAGGCAAGGCTTGTGTAGCAAACTCCGCGGCGCTCATCTCGTTTTGCCACAGAGTGGAGGATCTGGACGAGGCCAGACAGCTCCTCGCGCGGAGCAAAGAGCAGGGAGCCAAGCCGGAATTTTCGTGCTACCACACGCTCCTGGATGGATGCTGCAAGTTTGGATCTCCCGACGAGCTTCTCGCCGTGATCAGTGAGATGGACGAGTGTGGGACTCCTCCGGATGCTCGAGCTTACGCTTTTCTCATCGCAAGCTACGCGAAGGCCAGTATGCTCGACAAAGCGTCGGAGATCTTCCAAACTCTCCGGAGAAAGAACGCTGGGATTGAGAGCTCCGTGTACTCGAGCTTGGTTTGGCTCTACTGCCAGGCAGATCGACCGAAGGATGCCGAGGAGTTTCTTAAGGCGATGGAGGAGGATAGGAAAGACGAGGATTGTATCAGCTACAACGTTGTCATCTCGGCGTACCAGAGAATGGGCTGCTACTCCGACGCTACGAGGATTTTCCAGGACATGAAGAAAAAGAAGAAGAAAGAAACTCTCGGCCGGAGCACTTACAAGCTGATGCTCGACGTCTATCTCAAGGCCAGCGATCACGACTCTTTTGACAAGCTCTTCAAGGAAATGCTGGGATCTAAAGTCTCTGGAGAAGCCAGCACTCTGGAAGCCGCTGTGAATCTCTACGCCTCCAGAGACAGCGTCAAGGATGCGGAGTGGCTCTACGAGAATTTGGCTCCCAGTGGAAGCCGCTTGACTGTTCTTGGATACAACAAGCTCTTGGAGCTCTTCCTAGCGGCTGGCAACACAGCGATGGTGGACAGGATCTACCGGGAGATGCCTAGAGTCGTCTCTCCGGATCAAACCACCAGGCGCTTGGTGATGACTGCGTTCTTGCGAGCGCAGAGCTTCCGCGGGGCCGTGGAGCTCCACGAAGAGATCCTGAGAGAAAGCGGCGGCGTCCAACCTCTGCTGGATCCGCAAAGCTTTGCGCTACTCGTCCGAGCTTACGTGAAGATGGAGCGCTTCTTTGAGGCCATGAAGCTGGTGGTTCTCATGCGAAAGGCAGGAATGAAGGTGGACGAGGAGATTTACGAGAAAGTGGTCACTGGGATGGTCTCGGTCCAAGGTAAAGCATTCTTTCTCCTTCTTTTTCTCTGATCTTCTCTAATGGTTCCAGGACGAAGTTGATCCAGGACGAAGGGTTAACTTGTTCTTCAGTTTGGGCATTGCTTACCAAGATCCGTTATGCCTAAGTTGGGCATATTACCAGCCTCGAGATTCTCCTATCTATGAAAAGGAAGTTTAGAGCTGCTCGTGAATTCTAAAGTTATCACTTTAGCTTGATCCATATGCATAGTTTGGACATCTATGTCCCACTTTTTGATTCCCAGCCTCGGGATTCTCTTCGCACTACGAGAACTTCTTTGGCTCTTAAGTAACGAGAATTTTAGAACTCTTGTCGTGCTCGCAACACCATTGTATTAAGAAACAAAAGGAAAAAAAATTCCACCACATCACGAAGCTTTTGGTCATATTAGCACTTACACCCCTTCTGTACAGACACTGTTGATGGATCGACGCCCGCCGATGCTGCATCTTTGAAGTAGTCGTGCTCCAGGGCAGCTCTGGCGGTGATGCGGCTGCTGGGATCCAAGCACAGCATTTTCTAGCGGAAATAACAAAAAGAGTGTTAGCTGATGGATAGATCAAAGCAAAGTTTCTTTTCTCGTACGGAGAGCAAGTCGACTCCTGCGTGCTCCAGGCCTGGGACCAGCGTGGCGAGATCCTGCTCAGGCAGGCTTTAGATTTGCACCGCAAAAGCTTTTGCTTGATATGATTAACAAGACTTTCACCTTTGGAAGCCACTTTGGAAACGCACTCTTAAAATCCGGCAGGGACGTCACACCCGGCCATGTCTCTTCGTTGGGAGTTCCAAGGATACTGCCAAAGCGTCCGGTCAGGCAACAGGGTCTGTACGAGAAAGGAGGAGGAAAAATATGCGACACCATACCGAAAAATCTTAAACAGCTCGTCAATCTCGGAGTCTCCAGGGAAAAGTGGTCGCTGATTGATCATCTCGGCGAAAATGCACCCGACAGACCACATGTCTACGGGAGTAGAATAGTGGCGCGAGCCAAGTAGGATTTCTGGAGCACGGTACCACAAGGTGACAACCTGGGTCGAAGCAAATCATAGAAATACTTAGAAACTACAAGACAGCGAATGACGAGATGAAAGTGTTTTTGGTTGGCTACCTCGTGAGTGAAGGTCCGGACGGGAATTCCGAATGCTCGAGCGAGGCCAAAGTCAGCCAGCTTCAAGGCATTGGTCCGACGATCGATGAGTAGATTTTGTGGCTTCAAGTCGCGGTGAAGAACCCTGTGCGAGTGGCAGTACGCGAGTCCTCGGATCATCTGATATAGAAAGGTCTGCGAGAAAGGAAACCAAAAAAAAAGAAAAAAAGTGTGAGTGAAGGACAAGCACCACACAAGAATGCTGGAGAGATTTTGGGGGCTCACCATACTTTAATCATTCGTGGACTCTTGGCGAAGTCTGGGCTGTTGTCCATATGCTTCTTTAGATCCAAGTCCAGGTACTCAAAGACCAGGTAGAGCTTCTTCTCGCAATGGACCACATCTTGCAATCTGGGCAGCCCAATCGATTCGTTTTAGAAATCCATTCCAGAGAATGGAAGTGGACACGCACCTCACAATGTTGCCGTGCTGCATTTCCTTGAGGAGCGATATTTCGCGGATCGCCGTGCTGGGGACGCCCTCGTCCTCCTGGTCCAGTCGGATCTTCTTGAGCGCAATCGTCTCATTTGTGATGCGATCCCGGGCCTTGTAGACGACGCCGTATGTGCCTTCCCCGATTTTCTCCACCTTCTCATACTACGCGCCGCAAGAAGCGCAAGAACAGTAAGATCAGAGCGGCAAGAACGAGAGAGATCGAAGAATGCGGCTTCGCAGTACCTGTTCCATGAAGATTCCCCGTGGCGGAGACACGAAATCCTGCCTTGGAGCTCGAGAACCCCCCAGAAACGAGGAGCGAAGAAGCCACCAGAGCTAGGCGGCGGCGTCCGCCATGACCATCGCTCTCGAGGGTTCTTCTTCTCTCACTAGGTGTGGCGCGGGAAGTGACGTGGCGGGAGGTGATTGGCATTTGGCTGCCATAGAGATATTTTGTTTTGGTGAAGTTTATTTTAGGGTTTTATGGCGGGTGCTTGCTCCATCGCCGTTGTGGCGGCGCCATCGGCGTCATTGATTCGTCGGCTGGGAGGTAAACCTTTCGGGGAATGTAAGCGCGTGAGAGGATTTCGGGGGCGGATCGTCAGTGTTGGAGCACGGAAGAATGCCGGGGACTTCGATTTCGATGAGATGCCTGTCGTGGAGCAGCGCAAGAATGGGCGGTTCTTCCTGGAGATTGATTCCGAGGATGATCAAGAAGATGATCGACCTAGTAAGCCGGCTCGCAGCAAAGAAGCCGGTGCTGCAGCGTCCAAGAGATTGCGGCCAAGCCGGGAATCCAGTCCGTCTAGACAGGGAGGAGAATCCATGAGGCTTCGCAAGAGGAGTGATTTTGGAGGTGACGATGAGGTGATCCCGGTGCCAAAGAAGGATGTTCCCAGGAAAGATGGTCGGAGTAGAATGGTGGAGACGAGGACGAGAACTTCCTCGACTGGTGAGAGATCGTCCTCAAGTGGTGAAAGATCGTTTTCAAGTGGTGAGAGATCGTCCTCTGTAAGAAAGATGACCGAGGAGACAGCAGAAAGGATTTCTAGCCGCCGGGAAAAAAAGAATCCACCACTTCGGGAACAGGTTTATCTTCCTTCTCTCGTGAAGAAAAATCCACAGGTGGCGATTTTGGGTGGTGGGATGTCGGGCCTTGTGTGTGCTCTTACGCTCGAAGAACGGGGCATTCGATCGACAGTTTTCGACACGGTACGTATGCTATAGTATTTTTCATGTCCATCGAGACTGAAGTTCTTTTCGTTTGAATGAAGGGAAAACATGGACTAGGAGGAAGAATGGGTACTAGAGACATTGTCCATCGTGACGGGAAGCGGCTAGTTTTCGACCATGCGGCGCAGTACTTCACTGTCAAGGATCCAATGTTTCAGAAGCTCGTTGATCAATGGCTGTCAGAGGGAGCGGTTAAAGAATGGGATGGAGTCGTCGGCATGCTACGAGAGGGAGAGTTCAGTCCATTGCCCCACTCCGTGAAGTATGTTGCGACTCATGGCATGCGACTTCTTGCGGATCATATGGTTTCTAAGGTAAGGTAAGGTGAGTACTTACGTCTGTCATGCTTCCGGCTTACGATGTGCATTGGCGCAGGCACGTTTGATCACTATCCAGCATCCATGCTGGATAAGCTCGATGGAAGTAGATAATGGCACCTGGAACCTCAAGGAAAATGACCTCGGGCAGGGACAGTTCGATGCGGTGGTTATCGCACACAATGGTTAGTATTCCAGATCCATCTTCTTCGACTTTAAACTCTTTGCTTCTTAGGAAAATGCGCAAATCGATTATTAGGACCATCGGGTGCTCCTTTAGTTGCAAAACAGATGAAGGTATGTGTAGTAAGCTAAGGTGGTTTCTGAGAGTGGTTTGCAGAGGCTGGAGCTAAGCTCTGTTTGGGCTCTTCTTGCGGCTTTTGACGAGCCTTTACCTGCGCCGGCAGACGGTAGTAAATTGGATGGAGCGTTTGTTGAAGGAATAAACTCACTTTCTTGGATGGGGAACAACAGCCAAAAGCTGTATCTGAATCAGCATCCACATTGTTGGACTTTTTTCAGTACTGCGGCTTATGGGAAAAAGCACAAGGTGCCACAGGTCAGTAGCAGAAATCAGATTATGCAGTTTCTTGAAGCTTCGCTGTTATTTGTCAGGAAAGCATTCCTACGGTAAAAGCCGAGAGAGTGAGACGTGAAGTTCTACGTGGAGTTGAGATGGCCCTTGGCATACCAGAAGGCACTTTGCCTGCGCCATTTTACACTCGTGTCCAACTATGGTAACTCCAAGGTTTTCTATGGGAACACACTTGAACTCACTCCGCTCTTCGCGTTTCAGGGGAGCAGCGCTTCCAACTAATACGCCTGGAGTACCTTGCATTTTCGATGCACATGCAAGAGTTGGCATTTGTGGCGACTGGCTTCTGGGTGCGAGCTTGGAGTCTGCTGCCAGGAGTGGCATGGCACTAGCTCATCATGTAAGTCTGTTCGTTTTCTCTCATTCTTGTATCAACCTGTTTATCTTTCATCAGATTGCTGATTACTGTGAAAAGTCGCGAGACGGCTACGTCGAGGACAGCAGGGCAAGCCTGGAGAAATTTAGTATAGGACTAGACATGCCACTCTCAGCACTGGAAAGCCATGACATCGGGGAATTTCCAGGAGCTACAACTCCACGGCAGCAGCAAATCTCCGGCAGAGCACTGGCAGTGGCCAGGGCTGAGTGAACTTGTGGAGAGTAGTCTGGACAATTTTGGTGAGTTTTTCATGAGTTTTGACAGAATCCATGATCATGATTTCATACAGGTAAGATCCCCTTGGCCACGTCTGCTGCCAAGTCACTTTCTGTGACATGTCACTTATCTCGTCAGTAAGAGATAGCAGTGGTCGCAAGGACTGTGCGGCGCCATTTCTTTCGTTTCCTATCCTGCTGCTTCACCTCTTCAGCTGAAACTTTCCATTTTACTCACCCTCCAGCAGTTAGGCACTGCTTCGAAGATATAACGCGCGGTCCAAACTAAGAAGAAGATGAGGGAGATCTTACACATTCAAGGAGGCCAATGCGGCAACCAGATTGGTGCCAAGTTCTGGGAAGTCGTGTGCGACGAGCACGGCATCGACCCCACCGGAACGTACCATGGAGACTCGGACCTTCAGCTGGAGCGGATAAATGTCTACTTCAATGAAGCCAGTGGCGGAAGATATGTTCCACGGGGAGTGCTCATGGACCTGGAGCCTGGCACTATGGACAGTGTGCGCTCGGGACCTTACGGCCAAGTCTTCAGGCCCGACAACTTCGTCTTTGGACAAACTGGCGCTGGAAACAACTGGGCCAAGGGACACTACACCGAAGGAGCAGAACTTATTGACTCGGTGCTCGACGTTGTGCGCAAAGAAGCGGAAAGCTGTGACTGCTTGCAAGGTAAAACTTTTTTGTTTCTCTATCTTTACGAAGTTTTATGTTTCTTTGTTTTCAGGCTTCCAGGTTTGCCACTCAATGGGAGGAGGCACTGGCTCCGGAATGGGAACCTTACTCATATCCAAGATCAGGGAGGAGTATCCCGACAGGATGATGCTCACATTTTCGGTGTTCCCGTCTCCAAAAGTCTCCGATACGGTCGTCGAGCCATACAATGCAACCTTGTCCGTCCACCAGCTGGTAGAGAACGCGGATGAGTGTATGGTGCTCGACAACGAGGCCCTCTATGATATTTGCTTCAGAACTCTGAAGCTCACAACCCCCACCTGTAAGTCTCTCAACACTTTTGTCAGTCGGTCAGCCGAAGTGGTGGATACGGCTGGATCTTTTCTAGAGACTTGACATCCAGCCAGGCACCACGGCTTACTCCATTTCTTTTCCCCTCTCTCGCTCTTTAACCTCTTACGTTTGCTTCTTAGAGGCTCATGAGATTTTTTTCTTTCCTGCAGTTGGTGATCTCAACCATTTGATCTCCGCGACAATGAGCGGCGTGACGTGCTGCCTCCGCTTCCCCGGCCAGCTCAACTCGGACCTCCGCAAGCTTGCAGTGAACCTCATCCCGTTCCCGCGGCTCCACTTCTTCATGGTTGGATTTGCACCGCTCACGTCCAGAGGCTCGCAGCAGTACCGCGCGCTCTCGGTCCCGGAGCTGACACAGCAGATGTGGGACGCCAAGAACATGATGTGCGCTGCGGACCCCCGGCACGGGCGCTACCTCACGGCCTCGGCGATGTTTCGCGGCCGGATGAGCACCAAGGAAGTGGACGAACAGATGCTCAACGTCCAGAACAAGAACTCGTCCTACTTCGTGGAGTGGATCCCAAACAACGTCAAGTCGAGCGTGTGCGACATCCCCCCAAAGGGGCTCAAGATGTCGTCCACCTTCATCGGCAACTCGACGTCGATCCAGGAGATGTTCAAGCGGGTGACGGAGCAGTTCACGGCCATGTTCCGGCGGAAGGCGTTTCTGCACTGGTACACGGGCGAGGGGATGGACGAGATGGAGTTCACGGAGGCGGAGAGCAACATGAACGACTTGGTGTCGGAGTATCAGCAGTACCAGGATGCGTCCGCCGACGACGAGGGCGAGTTTGAAGAAGAGGCCTGAGATTTCTTTTGGTTTTGCTTCAACGACGGGTTTATGTTTAAAATTTGTGAATATATTTAAGATTCGGGAATATGTGGTGTCAGATTATCTCACATGCCGTAGCTCAAACTCGTGCCACCGAAACTGTATATAATGTTAGTCGGGGCTGTTGTGTGCTTGGGCCGTGGCCACCTGATCAGTGGCAATCATGGCCATTGCACGCCGCGGCAAAGAGTAAGCCCATAAATCCTAAAACCTAAGATGCATTAATCGATGCACTTGGCGAGATTATGCAAGTTTTTAATATAGAACCGAATGTTAATATTAAGGAAACAAGTTTGTTATTCCTATTCGGATTTGGATCTTGAAGAAAAAATTGAATCATGTGAAAGTGGTTTCATGGTCTAGTGGTGATGACACTGGACTCTGAATCCAGTAACCCGAGTTCAAACCTCGGCGAAACCTTGTGATTTATAATACGTACTATAGTGTTTAGCAACAACATTGATGGATCATTGATGGATGGATGAATGAATTTTTCATTAAAATTGCCATCTAAATTAGCTCATGGTGTCTGAGCCCGGGACCGAGACTCCTTTGATTCTCTGACTCCTTTGATTCTCTAAATCCTCTTATACAAATTATTTCATTGTTGTAATTTTAACTGATTATACTAGTGAAGAGATTTTTGCAGAAGAGTGATTAGGTTAGCTCAACAGTGTAACTTCTTCAAAACCAGCATCTCGCCATCTCAAGGTTTCTCATGTTCCTCATGAGAACAATGGCTACAGGGGTGTAAATGCAACACGGTCGGACGTGGCCAACGTGTTGAAGAACCCAAATGAAAAAATAAAAGAACACTTTCTATTACAAAAGAATAGTGCTGTACAAAAGAATGTAAGTACATGGAAGCTCTCAAAACTGGCCACAGTCCGCGGGAGTCGTCGGGAACCTCTTGCTGTCGGTGCAGTAGTCGTAGATCATGTAGTTGTCCTTGACCCACTTGAGCTTGCTCTTGGTCTCCTCGTCGGTGCTCTGGAATGCCTCTTGCTCCCACCAGTTGCCCTCGGGAGCACTGCACGACTCCACACCCCCGGCGCAAGCATCCACGCTGAATCCCTTGTACGCCGCCACGAATGGAGCGTGATCCCAGTTGATCTTCTCCAGCCCGCCGCGAGTAGCCCAGTCGTCTCCGTTCCACAGGCTCGAGTAGATCCCCATTGGCTGGCTCTTTGGGAATGGGATCCCGATGGCTTCGTTGTTCTTGTGGACACGCAGAGGGACATCGTCCACGTAGAATCTGAGGGACCAAAACCACAGTTTGAGCGATTATCGAAAAGTTTTCGCAAAAAACTTACATGATCTGCTGCTTGTTCCAGAGGACGGAATAGGTGTGGAAGTCCTGAGTGGGGTCGAACCAGAGGTAGTGTCGCTGCTCCCGGTTTCCAACGCCATTGGCGAAAACGTTGGTCTGGACGATGTATGGCTGCCCGGAAACGTTCCCCAAGAACTCAAAGTCGATCTCGTCGTGCTTGTCGGTCTCCGAGGACATGTAGAATGCCGTCACAGTTCCAGCAGAGTCATTAGGAACCAGCTTGATCTTCATGCTGATATGACCGAACAAGTATTTGCTGCGGGACCCAAATCCAGCACCTATCATGCAACAGGACTTGATCAGCAAAACAGAAGCTTGAGAGAGGGATCGTTACCTGAAACCTTGTCGAGAACAAGCTGCATTTCGCTGCCACCGTTGATCACTCGCGTATGATCATTGGCCCATCGGACATAGTAGTTCTCAGAGAAAGACACATCTGACTTTGGTGGGAGACGAGCAGAGAATGCAAGCTCGGCCAACAACAGCAATGCAATGACTTTGAGAGCACCCATTGCTCGATCGAAACTCCTGGCAGGAACAGAAGACTTGTATGATCGAAGGCTTGGGATGAAACTTCGAATACTGGGGATGGAGTTTGCAATGGTTACCACTGGAGTGGTGATGGAGATTTATAGATGTTGCCATTGCCGCGGAATAAACGCGTGATAGGAAAAAGAATGAGTTGGAGGCTTAATAGGATCCAGCTCAAGAGAGAGTAAGGTCGCCATATTTTGTTGGTATGGGAGGAAGCTTCTGCGCGAGCGAAGAGAGGATTGGCTGTGTGGCAAGAAGTTTCTCGTGAGAAAAACTGAGCTCGTTGCCCATCTGTAATCCAACACAGCAAAGCAAGACGAAATTCAAAACCAATAAACGTGTTGATGTTGATCGTCTCTACCTCGTAAGTACCTCACTTTCAAGTAGTTTAGTTTTTCCGTGTCTGGCATTAACAGCTGTGGTGTTTTGTCCCTTGCCACTAGCGACATGCCGCGGGAAGTATAATCTGTTGAAAGCACAGGAAAAGAAAAAGAAAAAGAAAAAAAAAAAAAAAAACAGGCAAGGAGTGGTGAACCCAACAGATGGGAAAAAGAAACAGTGTTGTCACGTACGCGTTTTGTGGACGACATTTCTACCAATCGGGGCCGAGTGTCAAGACGATTTAGTGAAGTTGTTGTCAGAGCCGTTGCAATCTTCGCACCAACGAGTGCATTATTCTTCACGAGCTGGATATCTGTCAATTGTAGCAAAGAAAAACTACCAAAGGAGGACTACCAAACAAAAGGATACTTGCAGCCAATGAATCGCCCCCAGTGAGCTCGTTGACGCGCTTGAGCAAGAATGGCGTCACAGAATTACTAGCAATACCTCTGCTCCTATAAAAAAAACACGTAGGAATACCAAGAGCGAAGTCACTGAGACGTACTCTGCTTCATGCAATGCCGATTGTGTGGCCGAGTCCACGTTCTTAGCTGCCGCTGCATGCTCTGCGGGTGCCCGATCAAAATGCCTGAACCCAATCCAAACTTCGTGTTTGCCTCTGCAGTGTCAAGCTAGAATCGATAACCACGATGGCTAGAGCTTACCTATGATGTCTGCGCATTCCTCCACACTGTCTGCTCGGCAAGGTGCTTTGCAGCCACTGTTAGGAGTAAAAAATGCTGGAAATTCATCAATTGAGTAGCTAACAACCGTCACTCCTTGAGTTTCCTGCAAATTGTTTCATAGTAAAACACTCGTGCGCTATACGATGGTCTTACCAGGTATTCAAGTGTTCGTGGAATGTCAAGGATTGATTTTACCCCTGCACAAACCATCGCAACAGGAGTTTTACCCAGTTCTGTCAAGTACGAGGACACGTCCATAGCTTAATAGAAACAAAGTTAAAGACACAAAAGTATAGAAGATTGGGCTTACTTGACGCCTTGTCGATGAACTCCTCCCATACCTCCACTTACGAATACTTTGATTCCCCAAAGGCTCCTCTTTTTTCCAATGTAGAAACTACCTTTGAAGCAAAAAACATTGTTGCTGAAACAGTGGTTGCTCCGTTTCCTCCACGAGCGAGCTGCGTAGAAAAACACTAACTGTGGAGAACAAGAGAAAAAAGAGCTTACGACGTAAGGAATGTCGTGGCTGGCCGTCTTTGAAACCGATGTTCAAGCTCAGCCACGTGTTAGAGCATTAAAAAAACAAAAAGCATACCATCGTCTAAATGGCTATGGTTGCCGGCACAGCGTTCGCTCTCACAATCTTGAGCTGTATGGAATTTTTTACGGTAAGGCATTCCTGGCAACAAGCAAGAAAATCACTCGAATGGAAGTCTGGAGGAAATAAAGAGCGCGATGCCATGCGATATAATGGTGGATTCGAAAGAGCAGAAATTGTAAAGCCCTAAACCAGTTTTCGCAATGAACAAGCTCGGAAGAAAAGGTGACTTATGTGGCCTTTAAAGTTAAAAGCAGAATGGCATTTTCTTGCAAGAGAAAAGGGAGATGGAGATGAACGCAAAGACGATGGAGATATTGTTCCCCAATCTGCTAGACAAGTTCCAGGTAACAAAGACTATAGGACTGGGTGGATTCTCGAGGGTGCTTGAGGTGATCCGTTTGAGAGATGGGAAACACTTTGCGTGCAAGACGAACAGCATGATGGGTGACGATAAGCTCATACTGCAAGAGCTCAAGATCATGGCCCAACTGAGGCACGACCCAGGCGTGGTTCGTCTCATCGGCATTGTGTGTGACTTGGGTTTCTGCCATATCATAATGGAGCTGTGCGAAGGAACACTCCTCTTGTGGCGGATTTTGGCCTCTCCTGGTAAAAGGGGCAGGAAAAGGGGGTGTTGATGTGCGGTGGAACTGTGCGGTACATGCCCCCTGGTGAAAGGCTTTGTAAGCTCTTGAGTTTGGACTTCCCGGGAGGTCACCCAAACCAGTATTATTTAAGCTCAAAGACACTTAACCCCAAATATCCCAAGACCCTTAACCAATTGGAAAAAGGGGTGCATTCTTTTTCATAGGCCCTTTCCCTTTATATTTGAACCCCATGAATCGTCTCTCGAATTGTTCCTTTTGGTTGCTTATAGGCTTAAGGAATCTTGTGATATTTGGGCATTGGGCGTGACTTTGTACGAGATGCTCACAGGAAAGATTGCATATGAGGAGCTTCAAACACCACAGGTTCTCCTTATTCTCTTCGACTGGTCGAGGGTTCCAGTGTTAGCCAAGGATTTGATGCTGGGGATGCTAAATCTGGACAAGAAAAAAAGATTGACGGCAGCCCAGATCTTGGAACATCCATGGATCAAGCGAATCACTCAAAATTACAATAGGCCAGCCCCAGAAACAAAGGTGGAAGTCGAAGCAAAACAAGATGTGAGAACTGAGTTGATAATGGGAGGACAAGCTTCCATGCCAATGTACTAACTGCGAAATTGCCCACAAGCAATTGGAGATACACGAGAAATTTTTATTAGTCGATGTTAAGATATCCAGGAAATCAGACTAATCGAATATTAGCGGCACCAAAATATTCCTGGTGCCGTCATTTCACCTTTAGGTTTCCTTTTAAACCAATTAGCCCTAAAAATGACCAAAGCCCTAACTCATTGAATATTCAACTTTCATTTTTGTCACCCTAAACACGAGGAATTTGATTGTGGAGCAAGATTTCTTGCGCGCCCGCTGCATGGTGGACGATGGGGAGGGCTTCCGATCCAGGCGGCTGCCCGTGCGGCGCCTCAAGGCGACGATCGTCCAGAAAGTGGAGATGAACTGGGTCACGATCATCCTCGCCGAGACTTCAGGTTTGCCTCTTCTTTGCTGGGATTACCCCTCTTTTCGGAGCTTAGCAAGGCAATGTGGGTCTAGGAAAGAGCTCGCAAGTCCCGCAAATGCTGCTCGAGGAAGGGTTCGCCCCCGCCGAGAAGGCTTGCCGTGGTCGCCGTGTCCAAAATGGTGGCCGGGGAGCGAGGCTGCGAGCTTGGACAAGAAGTTGGATTTCACATTGGTCAGATGAATCGGACAATTGTTGAGAGCTACAGGGGTGTAAATTCAACACGGTCGGACGTGGCCATAGCTTCTTGGGAATTCCAGCCACACATGACGCCTCATGTCAAAAGCCACAGGCCATAAGAAGTAAAAGTTCTCCAAGAAAACAAGCAGGTTGACACCCGCGACAAACCATTCTGGAAATTTGATGGTTTTTATAGAAAGAACAGCCACGGGATGCCCCCGAATCCCACGGTCCTGCTTGCGCCACGTGGGTCCAGTGGATTGGCGATGGATGGAGGCGTCGCGGTCGCAAGCCAGAGATGGCGTTCGATTCTCACAAGACCCTGCGATCTATTGATCGTGCTGACAAGATCTTCGTCCGGATCAAGGAGAAAGGTCTCGTCTCGTGGACTCCTTAGCTCGCGGGATTTGCCCAGGGTGGACGAGGCTCTCAATCTCTACAAGACAATGCTGCACGAAGGAATTCGTCCGAACCTACGAATCTCTAGTCAAGAATTTCAAACTAGCAGAATATGCTTAGAGAATTGTTTTTAGGGTTTAGCTATGTTTAGCAGTAAATAATGAGAGGAAACAAAAAAAAAAAAACAGAAAATGCTAAGTTATGCCTTCTAGGGTTTAAGCTAATTAATGGACGCTGTGGAGCTTGATGGCAATGCGGATGCTGTGGAGTTCTGCCCGGTTCGTTCCCACTCTCACGCGCTCGCGGCCGCGACCTACAATCTCGTGGAAGCGACGCCGGAATCGCCAGCGCGGCGGCTGGGGAGCGTGAGCCTGTTTGAGGTAATCGCGGATCCAAACCCTCGCCTCCGCCTCGTCGATCGCAAGAAAACGAGTGGAGTGTTTGATATCAGGTGGAGGCCTTCGAATCAAGGGAACGATGCGGTCCTTGCTCAAGCTGGAGCTGATGGCGTGCTCACAATGTACGCATTGCAAGGTAGTGTTGGCTTAAAAAGTTCCTCTAAGTTTCTTCTCCCTTTTGTCAATATGGCAGAGGATTCGAATTCGCTCGAGAAATTCACGGAGCTGGAAGTGTGTGACTCCGCGATGTGCCTCTCCGTGGATTGGAACCCATTCGCTACTTCGAGCCAGCAAGAACTCGTCGTGAGTCACTCGAATGGCTCCATTTCGTTGGTGTCCATGTCCCGGGAGCGCCTGGAGCTGGACAGGAGCTGGGAAGCTCACGGGTTTGAGGCTTGGACGGCAACTTACGACGCTTGGATCCAGGGGCTGGTCTACACAGGTGGTGACGATTCACAGTTTTGCGGATGGGATCTCCGAGCAAGCCTTGATTCTCCGGTTTTTCGCGACGCCAAGTCCCATGAGATGGGAGTTTGCTGCGTCCAGAGCAATCCCCTGTGGGAGAACGTTGTGGCGACTGGAAGCTACGATGAGAGGCTTCGACTGTGGGACGCGAGGATGGCTCACAGGCCTTTCGCGACGCACAAGATCGGGCTTGGCGGTGGAGTTTGGAGGCTCAAGTGGCATCCGGTGGACAAAGGGACGCTGGTTGCCGCTTGCATGCACAGTGGCTTCGCGATTGTGGCTGTGGACGAGCAGCGAGACGTCGGTGTTGGGGTGGTGAAGGAGTACAAAGAGCACAAGTCTCTCGCGTATGGGGTTGATTGGTCCAAGAACAACGAGTCACTCCCGCTCGTTGCGTCGTGCTCGTTCTACGATAATGCACTTCATCTCTGGAAATCATAACAACATTGATATACTATCGCGTTGTTTAACATTAATAACAGGAGTCTCAACAAAATGGTTTAGCTGCAATATTTCCTCGGTTTTCTACGTTTCAAGATTATTGTCTCATCACATGATTTAAAGGGAATCGGCAGCTCCAGCATTTCAAGTTTGTTGTCCCATCGCATGATTTAAAGGGGATAATATTTCCAAAAGGAGTGGGCGGTAGGCGGTAGCTCCTACAAATCCATATTATGAACAATTTATTTTTGTCCACCTATATTTATTTAATAGTAGTTTATCGCTATTTAAACACCTATTGGTGAAGTCTTTAGTGCACAAAAAAAAACTAGCTGATCATGGCTAAGTTTACCATGTTCATTTCCATGGTTTTGGTTGTAACTTGTGTAATTGCAGTTGATGCTTGTGTGAGCGAACGTTTTATTTGTCTGGGGGGAAGTAGCCAGGATTGCAACGATTATTGCACTCAATGCCATGCCACTGAAAATGGTTGCCGAAGCTGTAATTCTGGAAGATGTACTGGAGCATTTGCTGAGACATGTAGCTGTGCTGTGTGTGGCAAAAACAATTGTTAATGATCTTATAAGTTTCCTTTGATTCTCAAGTCAATGTCTCAAATCCAGAGGAACTGGGTGGAGCGCCAGCAAATCCTTGAATCGCTGAGCAGCTGCTTCACTCTTGCAGCTTCTAGGCAAATTGAAGACCACCTTGAGCACCACTGCCACCCAGCGACCAAGAACACCTTTGTCTCCAACAAGCTCCTCGAATTGTATGGCCGATTGGGCGGCATAGAGGATGCCGCTAGAATCTTTCACTCGATCGCTGCCAAGGACGCCTTCTCCTGGCGATTGATGCTCCTGGCGCTGTGCCAAAACGAAGAACTCGCGCAAGCGAAACAGCTCTTTGATGCCATGCCACTGCCACATCGGAGCCACGTGGCATGGACGATCTTGCTGACTGGCTATGCCCGGGCCGGGCATATTGCGGAGGCCCTTGCGGTGTTTGATTCCATGCCCGCGCACGATTTGGTGTCGTGGGCATCGGTGTTGGTCGCGTTTGCCCAGCAGAGAAATTGGAAAGGGAGCGTTTGCTTGTTCGAGGCAATGCCGGAGTGGGACTTGATCTCCACGGCTAGTGTTCTTTGGGCGTATGCTCAGTGCGGAGATCTTGAGCGATGCAAGCGCGTCTTTGATGGAATGGCGGAGAGGAACCTGGTAGCGTGGACGATCATGCTAGAACTCTATGCCCAGCACGGGAGAGCGCGAGAATCGATGTGGCTTTTCGAGCGGATGCCCGAGCACGACCTGGTGTCAGCAACTGCGATGATCTGCGCAAGTGCCCAGGAGGGGCAGCTCGATCTCGCCCTGGAGGTGTTCCAAGCGATGCGGGAGAGGGATCTGGCGTCCTGGAATGCGCTGCTGTGCGCCCACTTGAATGCCGACGCTCTCGACAGTGCCAAGTTCTTGTTCAATTCCATGCCCGCCCACAACAACGTCTCGTCCACCGCGATGCTCCAAGCGTATGCCCGGAAAGGGCATGTCCTGGAGGCCCTGAGAGTCTACCGCTTGATCCTCGAAAGCGATGGCGTATCGAGCGCCTTGATGATCGCGGCATTCTCCCAGAGCGGGCATCTGCGAGAAGCCAGAGGGATCTTCGATGAATCGCCAGTGAAGAGCGCCATCACCTGGATCGCGATGCTCTCGGCGTACTCTCAGACCGGCGATCTAGATCGAGCCAAGAAATTCTTCGACGAGCTGCCTGAGTCGTCTAATCCGGTGGCCTGGAACGCGTTGCTCGCTGCTTGCACTGCTCACTCCGATCGAAGCACTCGATATTTCCATCTGCTGCCCACCGTCGAGGAGAATCCAGACGCCACTTGTTTCGTCGCGCTGCTGGCATCGCATTGCCACGCCGGGAAGCTCCGAGCTGGAATCCACTGCTTTCTCTCGATGAGGAGTGACCACGGCCTGGAACCCTACAAGCAGCACTACTCGTGCCTGATCGGCCTCTTCACTCGATCGGGGCACCTGAACGACGCGGGCGCGCTCCTGGCGAGCATGCCATTCGTGCCGGACGCGCTGGATTGGAGATGCTTCCTGGGAGCCTGCCGATTCTTCGATCGAGGCGCCGAGCATGGAACGCTAGCCGCGGCCAAGATCCTGGAGCTAGAACCCCAAGACTCGTCCCTCTATTTCCTCGCTCTGGATGTCTTTGTTTTGGCGCAAAGCCAATGCCGTACAAATCGGCCACCTGACCCAAAAAGTACGGAGATTGATCCAACGGCTGCCCGGAGGGTCCTAAAAAGACGCGGTGCTTGAGCTTTTAGGTTAGGGTTTGGGCAGTACGGGGTGGGGGAATCGGTGTGGAAGCGCTTGAAAGAATCGGTGAGGCCAGGATTTAGCTGGGCGGCGCCATGGATTTCGTAGCCGAGGACACCAAGAAGAGGAAGCTCAACAGCGACGATAGCAACGGATACTCGGTCTCTTTGTCCAAGGACGATCTCAAGAGGCTCCTGGAGCCGCTAAGCAAGGAACAATTGGTAGCGCTTCTAATTGACGCGTAAGTGCCTCTTACTCGGTAGCTCTTAGTTTTCAATTTTAACTGTCATGCAAATGCTCCACCGCGGCCACCTTGGGTTTGGCCTTTCCGCGACACCTCGCCAGTGGAACGGAAAGGCCGAGAAAGCATCTGCTATGCCTGGGAGAATGGTTTTGGTTTAGTAGGCTTTTTTCTTCTGGTGGTGGAGTATTTGCTCGACTGTTTCTTTCGTTTTTCTTTCCTCTTTCATTTCTTTTTCCTTCGTTTTCGTTTTTGAATGGATTTGACTGGGAATGCTTGTTTTTGTGGCTTGTATCTGCAGAGGTTCTCAATACCCTGCGGTTGCAGATGACATTAGAGATGTTGCAAGCAAAGATCCTGCTCATCGGAAGCTGTTTGTTCGTGGACTGGCATGGGAGACTACTTCACAGGCTCTGCGTGATGTGAGTGCATGGGTGGATTGCTTGATGACACCTGGGAAATGGCAGATTGAACTGTGTGGTTCTTGGTCATGCCATGGGGAATTTTATCTGAGCTGCTTTTCCCCTTGGGATCTGACCACGATTTTTTTTTTCTTTTCTTTTTTTCTTTTTCATTTCAGGCTTTTCAACACTATGGAGAGATTGAGGAGGGTGCGGTTATCACAGATAAAGCAACGGGAAAGTCGAGGGGTTTTGGTTTTATCACGTTCAAGCATATGGACTCTGCACAAAGGGCATTGAAGGAGCCGAGCAAAACTATCGATGTAAGTGAGTCTCGTGATGCCTTCGTATGTTCTGATCATGTGTTTTGCTTTTGCAGGGCCGCATAACTGTATGTAATTTAGCATCCGTTGGCAGCTCGGCCGGGGCAGGCTCAGCAGACCAAGCCCAACGCAAGCTGTACATAGGTGGATTGTCATACGAAACGTCCAACGAGACGCTCCTAAACATCTTCTCCCAATACGGCGAGATCGAGGAGGGAGCCGTCGCGTATGATAAAAACACAAACAAATCTCGGTAGGCTACCCGACTCAAATCTCCTGCGTCGTCTGATGGATGTTTCCTATTTGTGATCAAGCAGGGGATTCGCTTTCATCACGTACAAAAGTGTTGAGGCGGCGAGGAAAGCCATCGATGATCCCAACAAGACAATAGAGGTAAGCTACACAAGCGTACCATGGTTTTTACTGAAAGAGTTTGTTCTTCCAGGGAAGGCACGTAATTGTAAAGTTAGCGGCAGAGGGTCAAAAGGAAAAAGCAGTGTCACAGTCCTCGGCACAAAACCAAGGGGGTCCTCAAGTCCAAGCGGGCTACAGCGTCATCAATCCAAACTTACCAGCGTTTGCGAGGCCGACAGTGGCTGGAGCTGGAACTCCGGCTCTCGGATTCTCGCCATACACTCCGGGGCTGCCGGCGTACACGAGCCAGCCGGCTTACGCGACGTCGAATCCACAGTATGGTGGCGTCACGGCCGCGATGCCGCAGTACAACCCAGCGCAGTACGCCGCGCAGTATGGCATCCCAACGCCACAGCCCGGGCAGCTCCCCGCTGGTGGTGGTAATGGCGCTGGCGGGGTTCCAACGTACTACGCTAGTGCAAGCTAGAAAAGAGCGTTTAATTCTTAACCCTTATGCTTATTTAAACGTTGTACGGTATCAATTCAAAAATTCCATTGTACGGTGGCATTTGAAAAATATTTTCTAGGGTTTATGTATGGGCGCGCTCGCGAAGCTCCGGGCCTTCGCGGATCGTATCGAGAGCGATCGCATTGGTGAGCCCCGGCTAGATTCGCTTTGCTGTGCCAGGGTTTCTGGCAGATTGCGAGTTGGGAGGGGCGTACGCGCTGTTCTTGTGGATTCGCCAGCGAAGGCGCGATCCGACGATGCCTTCGTCGCGGCCGGGCTGATCCAGATGTATGCCAAGCGCGGGAGGATGGAGGAGGCATGGGAGAGCTTCCGTGGCGCGGGGGTCAAGGACGCGGTTGTGTGGAGCAGTATGATCACGGCGAGTGCCCGGAATGGGGATTTTGGGGCGGCGCTGCTGCTTGTCAAGGAAATGCTGCTCGACGGCGTGTTGCCCGATGTGATCGCTCTCACGGCGGCGCTGGCGGCTTGTACACGCCCGGAAGCTCTCTCTCAAGGTAAGCTTCTTCATGCGTGGATCTTAGACTGTGGCTGCGAGGCTGACTTGTTTGTGGTGACTGCATTGGTGACCATGTATGGGAAATGTGGCAGCTTGGAACGGTCCAAGGATGTTTTCGATCGTAGCTCGTGTCGAAGAAACTTGGTGCTGTGGACGAGCATGATCGGAGTTTATGTCCAGCATTCTCGCTTCGCTCAGGCTCTGGGGATGTTTCGCCAGATGCAACTGGAAGGTGTGAAGCCAAACAAGGTGACTTTCATTTCAATTGCTGGTGGAATCGTCGACATGAACCAAGGTAAGCTTATCTACGAGCTTGCCAGAGAATGTACACTTGCTTTGCATGATATTGTCGTCAGGACTGCTCTAATCGGGATGTTTTCCAGATGCGGGGACATTCGCTCTTGCGAGATGTTGTTTCAGACAACAGTGTGCCACGAGAGAACACTCTCCTCGTGGAATGTGATGCTTGGAGTCTATAGTGAACACGAAAAGCAACAACACAAGGCGTTCCACTTGTTTCGGCGCATGCTTCTGCAAGGTTTGTTACCAGAAAGAGTTTCGTTTCTTGCTTTGCTTTCTGCGTGCCGGAGTTTAGACTGTGGGAAATCTGTTGAAGGCTGGATTCTTGAAGCAGGACTTGAGTGCGACCTTGTGGTCGGTGCTGCACTCGTTAGTATGTATGGGCGGTGTGGAAGTTTAGGAGATGCGTTCCAGGTGTTTCAGAATTTTGAGAATGACGCTGACATGGTCTTTTGGAATTCGATGATCGCAGCGTGTGTTGATGCGCATGCGTCTTCTATGGCTTTAGAACTTTTTCGGCGGATGCAACTCCAAGGTGTGAAGCACAACAAGGTCACGCTCGTTTCCGTGTTAAGCGCATGCGCCAAGTGCCATAATATTTCTTATGGTAAGCAGCTACATGAGCATCTGGTTGTCACTGGCATTGACAGAGATGAGTACTTGCAGAATGCTCTTCTTAATCTATATGGTGTGTGTGGGAGCGTTAAGGATGCTTTAAACGTTTTCGTCAATGTCGAAAGGTGGACGGTTGTGTCGTGCACTGCAACGATGGCAGCTCTTTCAGATAATGGCCTCCACGCAGAAGCTATGGTTCTTTTCAGGATGATGCTGCTGGAAGGTGTGACGCCGAACAAATTTACTCTCAGTACCGCCCTCGGCGTTCTTGGAAAGTCTGGAACTGCTACTGAAATGGAGCTTGTGCAATCTTGTTTCAGGCTGGGCTCTTTCAAGGACTTGGTACCGGCGTTGATCACCGCTTGTGGAAGGCTCCAACGTTACAAGCTTGCCGCAGAGGTGTTCTCCAAGGCTGATAAAAGCGACGTCGTGGTGTGGAACTCGTATCTGGCGTGGTGTGACGAGCCAGTTATTCAGTACAGGAAGATGCTTTTGGAAGGAGTAGCAGCAGACAAGGTTACGTATATCAGTCTGCTTCAGTCATCCAGGAACTTCCATCCGGAAGAGCTACTTCGGGTGGCAAACGCAGGGATTCATGCATTGGGCTTGGTGGAAGACGTGATCATAGCTACAGGGGTGCTGCGATCTTACAGTCAGTGCAAACAGGTTGAGCGGGCGGTCCAAGTGTTCAACAAGATGCGTTTCGCAGGGCAGGACGATGCTGTTACCTGGACTTCGATGCTCTCGGCCTACGCTGACAATGGACAACACGAAAAGGCTGTCGAGTTGCTCCATCGAATGCAGCTGGAAGGAGTAAAGCCCGACAAGTCGGCATTTGTGAAAGCTCTCAATGCCTGTGCGGCCTGTGGACGCTTGCGACTGGGAGCTTTGGTTCATGCAAATGTAGAGGCAGCTGGCGCCACACTCAACGCTGGCGTTGGAAGTGCTCTTGTGAGTTTGTATGGAAGCCTCGGGAAGCTTGAGACCGGTCGCGAGCTTTTCGAAAAGCTGCCTCACAAAGACGTATTCTCGTGGACAGCTTTGGTTTCGGCCTACTCGGACGCCGGTCAGCACGAAGCAGCGGTTCAGGTGTTTAGAAGCATGCAGCAGTTTGGGATACAACCGGACGCAGTCTCCATTCTTGCCGTGCTGAAAAGTTCTCCAAGCTCTATCGACGCCACTGACCTGCGGTTAAGTTTGGAAAGCTGGAGCAGCAGCTGCAGGATTTCGATCTACACGGAGATGCTGAGCTTGCAAGGGAAGCACGGGAGACTGGACGAGGCGAGCTTCATCTTCGATCAGATGGAAGAGAAGGACAGTGTGGCCTGGAACGCGATCATCACGACCTACGCTCAACACGGCCACACGGACAAGGTGATGGAGATGTTCCAAAGGATGCAAGTGGAAGGCGTGGAGGCGGACAGTGGAACGTTCGCGAGCATCACTTGCGCGTGCAGCCACGGTGGGATGGTGAGGGAAGGGTGCAGCTACTTCGCGTGGATGCTGGACGAGTTTGGCGTGGCTAGAGTGGAGCAAAACTACGCGAGCGTGGTGGATCTGCTTGGGAGAGCTGGGGAGATGGAGGAGGCCGAGAGGGCGGCAAGTTGCTCCAGAGTGGAGGGGATGATGAGCAACAAGTCGATGCTTTGGAAGACGATGCTGAGTTCGTGCCGGGCTTCAAGCGACGTGAAACGAGGAGTGGACGCTGCATCAGAGGTGTTGAGCAAACAGCCACGCAATCCAGAAGCGTACGTGCTGCTCTCGACTCTCTTACATGGTGCGTGAGATTTCTTCAAAAAGCTGTGAAACCAGCTGGATGCGAGCTACAGTGGACGGGGCCACCCTGCTTCACGTCGACTTCCATTCATCGGCACAGGCCAAGACATACCGTCGTTCTTGGTAACTTTGCACATTCGTACTGCTGGTTCTTTTCTGTTTTTATGTGAGCTTCCTCTTGCAGGGCCATTATAAGCACCGACTTTCCAGACTTCTGACCCGTCTCATTTGGAGAATCTGAACGCTTACCAAAATTTTCATCCTCGAGGAAGGCAAAAAGGTGCATCGGAGGCTGGACAGCCAAAAACTTCAATCTAGGTACGCTTGCTTAGTGTCGTTCGTCCGCTGTATACACCAAATGCTGACATCTCCACTTTCTCCTCAGGTGCTTGGTATTTTCCATTTCCGCTCCAGCGAAAAGGATGAACAAACAGTTACAGACCTCCAAGTTCTGAAGAAGACTGGCAAAAGAAGATACCTCAGTGCAAAACGAAAAATGCATCAATCCAAAGGTGCATAACGACAAGCTTGGGTAAGCTCACTTTGCTTTATTTACAGGTCTTTCTTCAAATTGCGAGTTCAGGAGCCATACCTTGCAACGAATATGTCGATATGCATGCTTCTGCTCTTCTTGATTTCCTTGGGCTCATGTAGTTGCAAAGAGCATGACATTGATCACGCTAGATCAAAGGTGCAAAATTTCTGCTAAAAGTGCTGTAAACACTAACCTTAGATACATAGCAGGCAAGTTATATAGTTTACCTGGGCGGGACACGAGGAATAGCTGCTGAGACACTGACCACCACTCATCAAAACATCCTTGCCAGAGCGATTGGAAGGTACTCATAGCTCCATGTACTCTTTCCAGTATACTTAAGCGTCTCTTATACAGTGAGGAGGGTGCTGCAGGAGCGATGATTTACAGCTACAAGCATGCGCTCAGCGGTTTCGCTGCTTACCTGACAGACGAACAAGCCAACGTGTTATCTGGTGAGGGTGAACGATGACTCATAGAAATGAAATGCTTACCTGGTGTTGTTCCTTACAGAAATGCCTGAGGTGCTCAGTATCTTCCCGAGCAGAACGCTCGAACTTCAAACAACTCGTTCCTGGGATTTTTTGGGCCTCCCTCGGACGCCGCAAGCAGCCCTTCCAGGAAACGCTATTCCAACTGGTTCCAGCGATGTGATCATTGGCATCTTGGACACAGGTATACTGTTTGTTTTGTGACAATTAAGTCCTTGAGTTTCATGGATATGAACCAAAGCAGGTATCTGGCCTGAGTCAAAAAGCTTCGATGATACCGGGATGGCACCCGTTCCTGCACGTTGGAATGGAGCTTGCGAGAATGCGCCTGGAACAAACGCTTCCGTTGTTGTCCACTGCAACAAGTCAGTCAGATTTTTCAAAAATCTAAAGAGCTTACATTGTTTTACCTTGTGCAGAAAAATAATCGGCGCCAAATATTACAGAGCTGGCCTCTCTCCAAATGCTTCTATTGCGTATAGCAACCCCAGGGACTTCGCTGGCCATGGAACTGGTGTATCAGCCATTGCAGCAGGCATGCCCGTGAAAAATGTGAGCATGGAGGCCGGACTTGCTCAAGGTGATGCCAGAGGTGGCTTCCCAGCTGCCAGAATTGCTATGTACAAGGTCTGCTGGGGGTTCCAATGCTACGACATCGATATAGTAGCAGCACTCGACGATGCAATCAACGATGGCGTTGACATCATCTCGTTGTCACTTGGAGATGATCCTGTGGTTTACAGCGTCGACAGCATAGCTATAGGTGCCTACCACGCCATTGAAAGAGGCATTGTGGTCTCGTGTGCATGTGGGAATTCAGGACGTGTGCCAGGTTCCGTCACAAATGTGGCACCTTGGATTTTCACGGTTGGTGCCAGCTCCATCGACAGAAAAGTCACTCCGTAAGTAGATTCACAAGCAAAGTGGAGAAGTACTAAGCCTTGCCTGGTTTTTGCAGAAACGGATCATTTCCTTTCAGCCCTGCACCAATTGCTGCGAGTTTCTCATCCCGAGGACCCAACATCATAAGTCCAGATATCATCAAGGTCAGGCAAAATACCTTTGTTGGGCTATACAACCAACTGACCTGCTTGTGGTGTCTTGCAGCCTGATGTAATCGCCCCAGGCCTTGATATATTATCAGCATGGAGTCCTGTTGCCGGAGTACGGAGCCGCAGGCATCCAGGTACTGGTTTCAACTGGACATTTATCAGGACAGACTACGCGATCGCGTCAGGGACGTCTTTCGCCTGCCCTCATGTAACTGGTACAATCGCGTATGTGAAATCCATCCATCCCACTTGGAGTCCAGCGGCTATCAAATCTGCAATCATGACAACAGGCAAGTAAACACTTGTAATGCATTCGTAAGTTGCTGACTCTGCTCTTCCGTCATGCAGCCACAACTGTAGATAACCAAAACCATCCAATCACTGAAGAAGATGGGAGCCCGGCAAATGTATTCAGCATCGGATCAGGCCAGATTCAGCCAGCCAAAGCTTTAGATCCAGGACTCGTTTACGACACTACACCCAATGACTACATACTCTACCTCTGTAGTGGAGGCTACACCCAAGAGCAAATACGAAACATCACAGGAGATAATTCCACCACATGCCCCAGAGACAATGCGCTGTCCAGCCTCAACTATCCCTCTATCTGCTTCAACGCCTTGAATGGTAGCCAGACACTTCAGAGGACAGTAACGAATGTCGGAGCAGCCAATGCCGTCTACCAAGCCAGAATAGAGGCAGCAACTGATAAACGACTATCTATTGCTGTGTCTCCGGCGAAACTCACTTTCACGGGCTCGGGACAAAAACTGTCGTTCAATGTTACCGTTTTGTTCTCCGCTGGTACGGCAGCACAAGAATCTTCAGCTGCTGCTCTTTTGTGGGTGTTTTCTGCATTGGCGTGGGAAGACGGGACACATGTAGTCAAGAGTCCCATAGCCGTATCAGTAAATGCATAGCCTGACTTAATTTATTAAAAAGAATTAATAATTATTTTTTGTAATAAAAAAACTCTGATTTGTTTTGAGATTAGGTCTTGCCGAAATTTCGTACTGGATGTCATCACCATAGACCACGAAACCTGGTTTCTTGTAAGTTTTTTGGCTCTTTTCTGCAAACTATTTTTATATTGAGGGGAAAATAAATGATAGAGTAGCGGGGCATTGCGAGAATCGAACTCACGACCTCTCGCACCCAAAGCGAGAATCATACCACTAGACCAAATGCCCATTACAACCACTAAGTAGCTTTGGAGTCGGTAATACATCATGCATGGCTCAAACTTTGCTCGCTGCATACAAATTCCCAAAGGAACTTGAAACAAAGGCATTGGTTTCGTCAAACTGGAATGACAAAATCAAATGACAAGCACCTCGTCAACCAGATGACCGCTTGTATCACATGAGGCACAGCGTGTGGCGTGATCACTCTCTCTCTTTGTGCTGAGTAAGAAACCTCGCATCCAAGGTCAGGTAAGTTTTATGCCCATCCTCATTGCTCACATCCAGCTTTCTCACTTCGGTGCTCGCCGCCGCAGTAGCCACGTTCTTACACAGATTGGAGTCCAGCCATCTCCGCTGCATAAAGATTTGAGAGAAGAACATATGGAACTGCAGCAGCTTGGGTGACGTCAACCATCAACACATTGCTCGCCGCTCGCGCGCCAAAGCTGGAGCAGGAGTGGATCCCGCTCGCTCCAAGCAGCGTCATCCATATCAGGTACCCCGGCTCGTAAGGCATGCTCCCAGTCAGCTCCTCGGCTCTACGCAACTCTCCCGCTCGTCCCAGCAAGTTTACGATGCAAGCGTAGTGCTCGGCTATGGGTTCCACTCCAAACTCCGCTTGCATGCTCCAGAAACAGCCATGGCACGCCTCGAATCCCCCCGCGTGTCCCAGAGCCGAGAGGATCGACACGAACGTCACCTGGTCGGGAGCCACTCCCTCGAGATTCATCGCGCGGAAGAACTCGAGCGCCTGTGCCGGATCGCCGCCGCTCTCGCTCACCGCCGTAATGATAGACGTCCACGACACCACGGTTTGCTGCTGGCGAGGGATGGCGCGGAAAACATCCAGAGCGCTGCGAGAGATCCCACACTTTCCATAGAGGTTGACGAGCGCGTTGCTCACGAGCTCGCTGCTCTCCAGCCTAGACTCGACGATCATCGAGTGGAGGAGCGACGCCAGCGTCGCTTGCGCGAGGCTGGAGCACGCATCCAGGGCGGTGGCGAAAGTGATGAGATTCGGCCTCACGCCAGCTAGCAGCATCCTTCTCAAGTAGCCGATCGATTCGCCGGGAGCCCCGTTTTGAGAGAACGCCGCCATGACAACGTTCCAAGACGCCGGATCCTCCGCTGAAAGTCGATCGTGGAAAACCGTGGAGGCGCTCTCAAAGTCGCCACACTTGCCGTAACTCTTCACCAGGGCGCTAGTGGCGAAATCGTCGAGCTCAAATGCTGGATCACCATCTTCCATGGTGGCGTGGAGGAGCTTTACGAGATCTAGCGGAAGCGCCGAGCACGAGCCGAGCAAGGACGTGAAAGTTACATTGTCTGGAGTCACGCCTTCGACCACCATAGCCAGGAAAGTTGCCACTGCGCTTTCGTCCTCGTTGTTCTGTGCATAGGCAGAGATCATGGCGTTCCAAGCACTGGTACTTCTTTCGAAAGGTATTGCCTCCAAGAAGATTTGTCTCGCTTGTTCTAGATAACCATTCTGGGAGAGCGCAGTGAGCATTGCTGTCCGCGACGCCATCGAGCCGGGATGGTTTTTGATCTGGTTGTAGACCTTTGTTGCTGCTTCCAGATCTCTGGACTTGCCATGCATGCTGATGAGCGCGGAAGAAACGAGAGGATCCAGCTCTAAGTCGGTGCTCATCACGGCTGCGTGGATCTCTTCGCCGAGTCTACGTAAAGATTGTTGTTGGTCATCCGGAAAAATCTCGAGAATTGTGACGATGGTCACGGCTGTTACTTGGACTCCATCAAGATCCATCTCTTGGAACAGCTCCAGAGCTCGTGACGAGGCCCCGTGCTGGACGAGAGCTGACAGCATCGAGTTCCAGGACACCACACTTCGCTCCTGCATCATGTCGAAAACTTTTTTTGCTTCTTTCAAGGCTCCACACCTCGCAAACGCATTGATAAACGTCGTGTTGACGAAAACACTGCCAGCA